TGTCCTTGCTTGCAGACGTGGAAACAGTAAGAATGGGTGCTACAAAAGGGCTAGCACCAGCTTAGTAGTGGATGAGGTTTGGAGTGTGAAAAGACTATAAATACTGCTATTTCCTGGTTTAGATGACCACCACCTGAGTAGATCTGTCAGACGGTGCATCAAAGAGTCAAAATTTTTCATAAATGTTTTTTAGAGCATGATCTTTTTCCAAGCCTTAGTTTTCTTTGACATAATTTGCTATTTTCCACTTCCAGATGACATGTCACAGGTCACTGTTTTCTTATTACAGTCTAAAAATCTAACTTTTCTAAAAATAATTTCTTTGTGTTCCTAAAAAGCATTATTGTTGAGGATTATTCATAGATATAACTCACTCTTACAGCATAACTGCATTTTACTACTTAATACCAACATCGGTCTCTCAAATAATCTTATCTTATATGAAAACAGTTGAGAATAATGAATGCTTGCATATATTCAAAATGCATTAAGTTTGCTTTCACTTTGGAATCCACAGAGCAAGAATTGTGCAGGAGTTAGGCAAAGCTGCAAAACCACAAACTGAATCCGCTCTCCATTCATCATTTTGGCAGGTGTTGGAAAGTTCACTGCAGATCATGTTTTTATGCAAAGCTCCCTAGGCGAGTGTACCAAATGAAAATCCTGACTGTACTACGTGTTGACATATGAACTCAAATTTCAAATCAGCAAAGTGCATTCTTTCAATATGTTTTAGGTTTTACTTATATTTTCTAGAATGAGTGTTTCTGATCTTATCTGTGTATTGATCCATATTCACAGCTCTCTTTTAAACAAAAATGCATTGCATACTACCTCTGTGTAACAAACAGCTTATTGTTTTTGGCGTGGACAGCTCTCTCTGAAAGCATCCAAGTCCCAAATGAGCCCAAACCATGTGTGTGCATGTGCTGAGTGACATCTGGGGCTGCCTTCCTCCCTGCAGTAAAGACTTTAGCTGGACGTTCAGACCTGCAAAGCAGGGACAACCCCTGCACTGTCTAAGCTCCTCATGCCCAAGACCCTCCAGTCTTGTGAAATCTGTCTGTTTGTTGGCTCACTTCTGCTTTATTAACTCCAAATGTCTCCACTAAAATTTTTAATCTATGTTTGGAGCGACTGTGACGCACAGTCCGTCCCGACCTCCACTCAGATGCGCGGCATAAATCACAGAGGCACCAAATTAGAATCTAAAATAAGGAACAGAGCGAGATATTTTGGTAAGCCTCTAATAACTCAGCTGCTTGTTCTAGGTGGAACAGTTGAGCTGGCATCCTGCTAAATCCCATACGGAGCCTCAGATAATGGTACCGGATAAAATCTGCCATGAATTGATGGAAAATGAGGAATGGCTCTCATGATCGCTTCCTAAAATAAGATATATAATAAAAACGACTCGATTTTTGCTTCAGCTAAAAGCAGACAGTTATTTAGGGCCTCTTCTAGATCAGAGAAAATGTAAATTTAACCAAGACAGTTTTACAAATACACCCTTTGAAAAAGTTTGAATGCTATGGTATTACTTAGAACAGTTTCTTCTCATTGTGTCTATTCTGGTCAGACATTTAATGCATACCATAGCAGTTTACAAATGCAGTATTTATTGATATTACATTTTATTCTGTGTCCAAAAATGTGGTGCAGCAATAATTTCTGTTATATCTCTGAATAGTCCATTCTAGCTGCTGTTTAAGAGCCTGAAATTTTATTTTTTTCTTGTTTGAGTTTTAAAAAAAGCAAATGAATATTACCTGACCAACGAATCTTCAGTGTATTTTTATCCATTGAACTTAAGGAACATTTAGCAATAAGCAATTGACCCCAAATTCATTTTATTTTCTAATAAATATATAAATAACCTCACTGATATGACTTTCAAGGAAAGCACAGTGTGTTATATGAGTTAATTTCATTGTATGGCTAGTGACTGATGGTAATACAAGTTGTGTTAAAATGTGGAAAGCAAAAAAAAAAATTTAGGGATCAATTCAAAGAGGCCCACAAAATAACAAAAACAAATAACTACCCATGATTGTAGCTGGATAATATAGAATTAAAATGTATATTTAAATACTGTCGGCTTTAGGTACCAGCAGTTGGAGAAGAGTGGTCGAACATTTTTCGGTAACTTCCTAAGAAATACAGTTTTGATTACTGATTCAATATTAGGTTGCATAAAGCTTGAAGAGGAACAGAATGGACATCAGCTATAGCTTAAGATATGAATGCATAATAGCCTTTTACACAATTTGATGAGGCTGCAGGATTATCTTTGTCAACTGTTAACATAAGTATGTGGCTGTTATGGCGGTCGATCTGCTGTGTATATAAATGTTTTTTTCATATTTTTACATGTGACCTTTGATCCTGGTGATGTACCAAAATGGAAGTTAATTGAGTAGAAATGTGTCACTTACTAAACCTGCGACCATGACTCTACTAGATCCACAAGAGGGCTCTCTTTGAATCTTAAATGAAGGAAAAGGGAGGGATAATGGGGGAAAAAGAGAAGTTTAAAAGTACATTTTATTATTTTTTTTTCATTTGTTTCCTCAATATAAAAAAAATAACCATAGCAGTATATATTAGTAAGAAACTGACTCTTGCCTGTTGCTAATCTAAGGCTTAATATTAGTTTTACAGAAGAAAATAATTTACATCTAAACCTAGTGAGCTTGTGTCCAAAGTACTTCAGAAGTTCCCTTTCCTGTTTGCAAGTTTTATACGCATACAAAGATTTTATAGAAAGATTTAGAAAAATATTTACGTAAGTATATTTGAAGTTGAATAAAAATAGACGGATTTAGATAATTTCCTGATGGATTTGTTACTTTTATGAGCTCCAGAAGTAAACCACATTCCCTTTACTAAATAATGCAATAATGTAGTGCAATTAATGAATGATGCAATGTGCTAAATGCTACACGATAATATATTACATGTAGTGTGAAATACTTTGCGGTTTATTGAAGTAAATAAATCAAAATACATCACATTTATTTATTTATTTTTTATTTCTTAAGGGAATATTATAAATGCATCTTACATCAGGGCCACTCCAATGTAGGCCTTAAGTTAAATAGGGCTAGCCAGTGCCAAAGCAGCCACCAAAGAAAAACTGTATTTTTTCATAAATGGGCTGCATAGAGGTCAAATCATTGTAGATCTTAAAAAAAGAATAAAAACAATTGACATATAAAAAAAAAATAGAGTTTAGTGTAAATAAAGGGTCTAGGTTGTTGTTTTTTTTCTAGTGGTGTCTGCCTATTTAAAAATAAAGAAATCAGCTAGTTGCTGAATATATTTGCTAACAGATAAACTATGAAGAAAGTGTGACCCTGACTGATTCAAAGCAAAACAAATAAATAATTGACTGTACATTTAGTATGTTATGTCTACTGTATGCATTTACATTCTTCTCATTTGGAAATTACCTTTTTGTTATTCTGCTATGTATCTGTTATATCTAAATGAGTTTAATGTATTATTTGATCTCGATTAAGACTCAAGAAAGTCAGTATCATTAAATAAATAGTATTTACTTAAGTTAAATCTGATGTGGAAGTAAAACAAAATTCAACTTATAAACATGTAATTATTATAACTTATAACCTATAAACATTAATTATATATATAATATATATATATATATATATATATATATATATATATATATATATATATATATATATATATATATATATATATATATATATATATATATATATATATTGTGTGTGTGAGTGAATATTGGAAAAAAAAACAAGTTTAACAGGAAGGTTACTCTACTTTAAGCTAATTTGAGTACAATTAGAGGGAGAGGGAGATGAATAAAAAGGACAATTTCCATTAATCAATGTAATTTCTCTGGCTTCATATACCGACAGGTTCACTTGGTGGAGGGTTTTGTTTCTTTTAATGTTCAGGGGAACTTAGTTAGTTTGAAAACTGGTGTTTGGTTGATGTTAACTAGTCTCTTTTGTGTTTATTTTGTTGACTCATTTATTGGTGTTTGTCAAAAAAATAAAAAATAGTCTGAAATAAATTCCTATTCAATATTGCAGAATATCAAACCAAATATTACTCCACTCTATGACTACAAGAAGAACAACTTTTTTTTTTTACTTAGTTTGAAAATTAGATCTACATCTAATTTAATAATTAATCACACATTAATGAATATTTTTTGCTCATCATTCGCTGATTTACTTGTGATTACATTTCAATGTAAGACCTCGTCTGCCTGGCTGTGTGTTTCCTGGACGGTGCCGCCTTTTACAGCTGCTTTTTCTATCTCTGCTTCTGTCTCCTTGAACCCCAGTCGGGCTTGGATGGCTGCTCCCACTGAGCCTGGCTCTGCTGGAGGTTTGTTCCTGTTTAAAGGGAGTTTTTCCACCCCACTGTCGCTACAAGCATGCTTAGTGTGAGTCAATGAGTTGGTGCAATCAATGGTTTTCCTTAGATAGAAAACTTTGAATTAATCTGACTGGATGATCTGGTGAACTGTAAAGTGCTTAAGATGACATGTGTTGTGAATCGGTGCTATATTAATAAATTGAATTGAAAAGCTCTGTTATTACATGGCAATAAGCTGGTGATTTTAAATCATCATAAATAATTACATATTTACAACTATTATGCATTTTGGTGGCAAGAAATAAGTGGAAGAGGCTTGTTTTAGATTTGGCCTTGAGCTTCTGTCAGATAATAAACACCATGCTGGAATGTTCCTACATTCTAGCTCTTTATTTATTGACTCGTTCACCATGTGTTGATGGGTTAGTGCTCCAGTCTCAGCTTGGTTGCAGGGATCTGTTTCTGTTTCAGTCTGTCTGTGTGTTTTCTGGTTGCTATGGGTGGAGCCATCACAGCGGCTGGTCCCCTGGGGCCTCTGTTCGCATTATTTTCATCCATGCTTACGTCTGGAAGCCGTGTGTTCCGCATTCCTGAGCCTCTCAGGCGGTACTTAAGCGGGCTGATGCAACCATCTCCGCTCAGTCTTTTAAGCTGACTGACTCTAGACCTCATCGCCGCCTCGCTTTTTTCCCTTTACTGCAGGATTTTTTTTCTTCTTCTTCTGATTTGGACGCAAAACAGGCAAGTGGGAGTTTAACTGTCTGATTTTAAGCTTGCAAACAGCTTTTCTTTTTTAGCTTCATATTTGCATAATATTTTTTCTTTCCACCGTGTATGGGTTTTATGACAAGCTCGGTTTAGTTTGATGTGAGCTCTTGTCCAGCATTACTTGTGACTTATTTGCCTTTTTTCCGGTGAGCTTTTGAGTCATTTCATAGCGAGAAAAAGTGAGCGACTGTAAAGTTTTCCGTCCGCCGCAGCCTCAGACGGAGCCGTTCTTGTTCCAACTGTTGTGGCAACTGTCGCCTTTCCAGCTCGTTATCTGGCCTCTGTCTGGAGATATTTTCATCTCCCATCATCTGTAGTGTCCGTCAGCCTGTTAAAGACAGTTATGTAACGCCAACACACACACATAGCAGGTTGTAAAGAAGTTAGCCGCTAGCCTAGCCAGACTGCTGCAGCAGGGGCGGTTCTGAGGCTCTTAGGGGCCCTGGGCACTGCTTTCTAGTAAGGACCTTCACAAAAACTGAACCCCAAAATAACACCATCCATTATAGAGTTATAATTAAGGTTGTTGTCTCAAATGAATATGTTTGTTTATTTCCAACTGAAAAGAGATCACTCGGGACAAACTCTTTAAATAACTCTTCATAACTTATACACTGTGTTCAGAATTATTAGGCAAGTTGTATTTTTGAGGATTATTTTTTATTATCGGGCCACAATTTTGTTCTCAATCAACCCAAAAGACTCCTTAATATCAAAGTTTCATATTTTTGGAAGTAGATTTTTTTTTTTTTAGATTTGGCTTTTTTATGAGGATGATGGCGACTTTTTCTTGTACCACTTTTTGAAGAAGGTGTCTTCCAGAAACTGGCAGTAGGTCTGGGAGTTGATCTTGACTCCATCATCAAAGCTCATCTTTGATGATACCAGCCCATACCAGTACCCTACCTCCACCTTGCTAGCGTCTGAGTCGATAAGGAACTTGCTGCCCTTTACTGATCCAGCCTGGTGCCCATCCATCCATCTGGCCAATCAAGACTCACCCTCATTTCATCAGACCAAAACATCTTGGAGAAATCAGTCTTCAGATATTTCTTGGCCCAATCTTGACGTTTTGTCTTGTGTGTCTTGTTCAAAGGTGGCCTTTTTTCGGCTTTCCTTACCTTGGCCAGGTCCCTGAGTATTGAGCACCTTGTGCTTCTCGGCACTCCAGACATGTTGCAGCTCTGAAATATGGCACAACTGGTGGCTAAAGGCTTCCAGGCAGCTTCACGCTTGATCATTTTCAATTCATTGGGAGTTATTTTGCATCTTTTTTAAACACGCTTCTTGCTCCCCTGTTGGCTATTTGCCATGAACCGCTTTATTGTGCGATGATCCCTTCAAAAGCTTTGCGATTTCCAAACTGCTGCACCCCTCTGAAAGACATCTGACAATTTCTGACTTTTCAAAGTCTGTCAAATCTCTTTTCTGACACATTTTGCCAAAGGAAAGGAAGCTGCCTAATAATTAAGCACACCTTATATAGGGTGTTGATGTCATTAGGCCACACCCCTTTTCATTACAGACATGCACGCCACCTGATTTACTTAATTGGTAGTTGGCTTTCAAGCCTATACAGCTTGGAGTAGGATAACATGTATGAAAAGGATGATTTGTTCAAAATACTCATTTGCCTAATAATTCTACACACAGTGTATGTATTAAATAACCATGAGACATGGCAACAGATTCTGATAAAAATTGTAATCTTACTCAGATCAGAGAAATTGCTTAGAATGTACAGAAGGCAGCTGCTAACCTCTGCGCTCACGTCTCAGGAAGTGGCCCTGATTAACAGTTAAAAATGCACTTTATACATCTGCAGTCTGCAATATCATCTTTTACATCACACATGTTAGCAGATGATTAGACATCCAGGGCTCCAGCCTTGTCAAAATATTACACTTCATTCTTAGTTGAAGGACACCACTCTCATTCCATTTCCATTTTATACTTCTGATGCATAGCCTCTGCAACCATCAAATCTGTCTCTGTGCGCAACCACACACCCCACCCAGAGGTTCTGCAACCGTTGTCGCTAACCTCGAAAAAATCCTGACTACGTGTCAGATGGTCGCAAACCCGTGCAGACCTTAAGCGGAAGTATGCAGACTAAAAGCAGCTGTGTCCATGGTATGCCTTTCCGGCTGTCTGTGTGCTCACCCTTCTCCATTGGGTGTCGTGGCACACCATTTTTAAAAAGCAAGGAGTAATAACAACGTAATAACAATGGGTAACCACGACGAAAGGTTGATCGAGGAGGTTCGGTACAGTACAGTCACTTGTAAGGTGCCTCAGACATGTTGTTTTGGAAATAAATACTCCTGCCGGCACCGCCGAAGAAGTTCTCGTGACCATCCTCCGAAGTTCTCTCGGGTTCTCGAATAGGCTCCCCCTAGCGCTTTGGCGGGAAACTGCTGTGCGTCCCTAGAAATTTCAGACCGACGTAACAGAAGCATACGGGCAAAACTGGTTCGCGAGCAGACGCAAGCGACATTTGATGTCGAAGAAATACGTCATAAATCCGCCGAAAGTTTTAATGACACTTTACTAGTCCTTAAAGATTAAAAATGTATCTTGCACATCTAAAAAATAAATATTAATATATTCTGAAATATCTGAAATCTGTTTGAAAGCTGTTGCTCCAGGAGCATCTCTGGAGTGGCTATTAATAACTGGTCAAAAATGATAGACGGCATTGTAGTACTTCATACTCTATAAACTGAATATGGAAGGCTTTGTGAAGGCTCTCCAAATGCTTTTCCCCCAAAATTTCCATGTTTATGGGAAAGTGGATTTTTTTTTAAACTCTCAATATGTAAAAAAAAAAAAAAAAAAAAAAAAAAAAGACAAAACAAGTAAATATAAGAAAATAAAGGCACAAAACAAGCTTGTTTTATACAGTAGATGTTGCTAAAAGGTTAAAATCTTTCACGTAATTATGTAGGTTTTGCATTTCTACATAAATCTAGAATAAAACCCTGGACTAAAATAGTTATTTGGATTGCAAAACTTGCTAAACCATAAATATGCTTTGCCTTAAATTGCTTTCAGATACATTTCGGATTCATCGTTGCCACGTAAAGTCTTTAAAATGTGTAAAAAAAAAAAGCTTTGTTTGATTCAGTATCAATAAGAGAAGAAGAGTGCTTTCAGCTGCAGTCGTTGCAGTATCAATGTGTGCAATATTGCAAAATTCAGACAACTCTTACAGCTATCCTTCATGCTAAGCTATAGATGGCCGTTTTCTTCCTGTATTTCACTGTATGTTTAGTCTTACAATGTTTTTTGAGCACTACTCCCTGAGAATAACCGTTTCCTCACAAACAGAGCCGCTGGTTTATAACTTTAACATTTTTCCTACAGACTCAATATCTTCTTGATATGCAAATTTGGATTGATGCAAATATTGTATTCAAAACAGTCCATTACATTTTTAATAATTCACACTGATATTGAGATTATTAATGAGCCTTTACTTAGAATTCTGTAGTTGTTTAAATATCTACATTCAGTCCCTTTTAAAAAATAAACAGTGGAGCTAGAGCTCGACAATATATCCTATTTTTCTTGTTATTCAAAATTCATGTCGTGAAATCTCACAAAGCCAATATTGCTCTGCATGATAGTGATTCTTTTGGCCAGTTGCAAGGACTCCATTGGGGCTTGACACCTGATGGGTATCCGTAGTGGTTTGCGGCGTGCAATAGGAACCTGTAATGGTCAAGAAACAGAGAAAAATGTGGGTTGACTGTAATGAGTATTGTTACCACAGTTTTCAGCTTTAGCATGGGGTTTTATTTTTTGTCGGGAAATATGCAGCCCTAATAGGAACATTTGGGTGTGATTTATTGGCTTTATCTTTTATTTGTCTCTTTTTTCCCTGTTGCTCTTATTTCAGATCTTTTATTATGCTTTTTTTCTCCTCTTCTAGACATCATTTTATTGCAATGCACATAAATCGTTGTGCATTAGTAGATGTTTTCATCAAGTATTCCCTAACAGTGCTTAAATTTCTTGTATATTTAAATCCAATATTTTTTTTTTTTTCAGGAAACTGTAGTACACTTTTTTCTCTTTTTTCTCTTGATTGTAGTTGTAGGATACGGAAGATGACCTTAAAATGATAGAATACGGGTTAAAGGGCTGTTTATGCTTGGGATGTAGGGAACCTGGCATCAGGATGACATTCTTATGCATACCTACCTGTTAGCATTATGTGTTTTATTCAAAACAAAGTCTGACAAATATCCTTTTAACTCCTTCAGGGCGTCCAAACACAGTTCATCATTGATAGAAGACGACTGATCAGTTCCCTCTGAGTAAGTATTCAGCGTTTTGTTTGTTTGATTTGTTTGTAGAGGAACTCTGATGAGTCTTACCCTCCTGCTCCAAATTCACCTTCAAACACGACCAACATGAAACATCAGCAAACAGGGTTCCCGCGGGTCCTTAAAAAGTCTTAAAAGGCATTGAATTCTTCAAAATAAAACTAAGGCCTTAATTGGTATTAAAATGTCTTAAATCAGTCTTTCGTAGGTCTTAATCTTTAAAACACCATAAAACGATTATTTTTATTATGATTTATTTTTGTAATCTACATAAAACATTAAAATTGACCTTTTTTTTTTATTTAAAAAAAATAACGGCTCGCCATTATTGGTTCTGTCCCGATAGCGGAACCAATAAAAGACATAAAACATACCAAGAAAACGATACAAAGAAAAATAGCTGCAAAAAAGACTTAGCACTGGTTATGTTGTGGCTTTAAAACTGATTTTTGTTCCCTGCTAAAACAAAGGTTGTGAATTCAGTTAAATAATTGTTAAAATATATCTGTCATTTGTGTGTTTTTAGTTTTCTTCCTGTATGGGAAGCTTTTCAAAATTTGAAACATTAGTGCAGTGGTTTATGTTAAAATAAACCTTTGGGTTAAGTTGTCGCAAGCAGGTTTTTCTTGTGAATTTGGTCTTAAATTTTTATTTCAAGTGGCATTAAAAAGTCTTGAATTTAACTTGGCTTATGCTGTAGGAACCCTGGCAAAGGACAGCAGCTCACTTTGCTTGATCTTTGCTCTTGCTTTATTCCGGTGCACATGTTTTGATCCTGCTGATTATGAGGAGGGTCTAATGTTTTGCCTCCTGGTCAGCATCTCTGCGGCCAGAAGGCTAAAAGTTGCTACTTTCAACGTGACTTCTCAGGGTGTCTGTGGCTATGCACTGGTTTTACCCCATACAAGTTCAAAGGCTTGGTGCATGCAAGGCCTTCAACTAGTGGAGTTCATGCTTGTACAAATATATACATCTCACTGGAGAACCTATTTACATGCCTTTTTATGTATTTATATAAATATATATGTATAGTCTTTGTGTCTGCGTGAGTGTTGTGGAGGGTTTAAATGTCCCGGTTCCTGCCCAGACGCATCCATGAGATGGTTTCCACATAATTGGAACATCGCACTGGATTAATGGGAAAGGCCTCACAAGCCGATGAGCAGCACGGACAACCGGCAGCGGCAGTGGGGGGGACTGATGGCTGGCTGTGGGCGCAGTGAGTTTATTTTAAGTAGAAATGCCTTCCAGTGCGTCTCGAGAGAGGTAGGATTGCCGAGCAGCGCTCCCGCTTACTGAACAGACGGCAGACGCATTGCAGGCGAGCCAACTATGCAACAGCTCGGTCGTACCAACACTAATGCTTAGAGGAGCAGCCATTCAACTGCTGCGAGTATCACATTATCAGTATTAGCCCCCTCATAAGCCTTTCCACATGCTTTATATAAACAGTGCTCCAGATGAACAGCCAAATGTCTAAAGGTATAACCAAGAGGGATGATTTCCCAAGTTCTTGTATTTCGTTTGGAACTGCTGCCAGTATTTTTCTGTTTAGACAAAAAACACTGTTGTCAGAATATATAGACCCAAACCCTGATCTTTTGCTTCTGGTCTCAAAGACACTGAACCCTGTTTGATCACTCCAGCAGCGCCCGCACTGTACAAGCGTCTGCTTGACAAGCTGCAGATGTGGAAACATCCAAGGACGAAGTATGAAGGAGCGCCGGACCGACAACTGGCTGTTGCGCAACACCAGCGGCCTGGTTCAAGCAGGCTGCGTTCAATCCAAATGTTCAGGGATTGCTCATAGCTTTCCTTGGAATCGTCACAGAAGCCAAATCTTTTTTTGCTGGAAAGATCTTTTGTCAGCTTGTTTTTATATTTTGATTAATTTAATCCCCGTCTGAGCCGCGCTAAAACTTTCTGGCCTACAGCCTAATCTTGACTGAGAACATGGAGGGAAGAAAAAAAAAGAAAATTCGAACATTATTATAAGTCAACCAGGGCCACCCAGATGCTCCTCCAGATGTGTGTTTAAACAGGACAAAGCGAGGTTCGGTTCTGCAGAGGAGCTTCATGCGTATACAAGCTGCATCATCAACAAAGATTGCTGTTCAAATGTAAACTTGAATAGCGCTTCTTAATTTGGATACAGAAAGGTTTCGATAAGGGAAGAACTTTTATAAAACAAAAAAAAAGAAAGAAATGAAACTTGAAATGAAATCTGTTTTCATAATCACTTCAACTTTTAGTTTACTGTTAAAGCTTTGTCTGCGTCTAGCCACCCTGCTGCTGCGAGAATAGAAAAAAAGAGCTGCAGATGCATTCAACCTGTATATGTGGGATTTTGAGCGTCCTGTCCTAGAAAGCCTGCATCGTATTCTCTGGATTTCCTGGAGGATTGCGAAATGCTGTAACTTAGCACAAAGGCACGACTGAGTGCAGACGGGACTAATGCTCACCAGGGCCGCAGCCTCCAGATTAAGAAAGTGTGCTTTGGCTGCAGATTCGTTTATTCTTGCTCATATTCCTGTAAAGCTTTAGTTAAAAAAAGCTGCACTTTTTCATAACTTAAATAAAAACTACAAAGGATTTACTTAAAAAATGTACAGAAACCCAAACACCACCCCGCTACAGTAAACTATTATGATGGAAAAGGAGAAGAGCCCCTGGTGATCCCTGTGGCTGTAGGTAAGGGCTTGAATTCCTCAGCCCTGCTAATTGCTTCCAGGTAATAGACACGTTCCGTAAAGCTGAAGAGGGATAAATAATGTGAGCAGACAAAACCAGTGAACTGCACCACTTTGCCCAGTCAACACACACCCTCTGGCACTCTCTCTTTCTCAACACACACATACCTCCTGCCAAATCAGATCACATAGATTTTTTTCTCTTGGACTGAATACCAGAAAATGAGGGGAGTTGGCTTCTATATTTCCACCCGTGATACTTGGCATTTCCTCCCCCGGCCCTTCAGCTTGTACCCCTACTTTGCTGCTTTTGTAGGTGTCTTTTTTTTTTTTTTTGGTTAGTGTGGGCCCAAAGAAAGTGTGCCATTTGCTTGTTCTGCTTCACTGCAAAAGCACAGTAACGCTGTTGCATCATCAAGCACTGACCGCTAGTCTTTGACTGCAAGCTGCTGGTAGGGGAAAAACACAGAAATACCCCTTCTTTTGAAAAATATAGAATTCGCTTTGACTCATTTTCTTTAAGAGTTGTAATTGTACCCTGCGAAGAAAGCATCGGCGAACTTTCCCTCTTGTAAAGACGAGGCTTCTGTAGGGTTTCATGTCTAGAAGTTTGAATGGCTGATAGGTTTGCGAGGGGGATTTTCACACCGACTGAGACGAGGCGGGATAAAAGCTGAGAGTTTCTGCTGCACTCTGAATAGAGACCTTCCAAGTGTTGTAGAAAGAAAAACAGGAACCTTTCTGGGAAAATGAGCAGCTTGTCACTTTATGGCACTACCTCCGTGTTGTTTTGTGGATGTCTTGTGGATGAAGAATAGCTTTTAAGAACAAGATGTTGCAAGAAATTATGTTTAATGGAAGAAATTTTATTTTATTTTTGATTTTTCAATTGTTCTCCGTGTTTGTGCTTTTTCAACACTGCAACTTTTTTAGTGATTGTCTTCAACAGTCCTGTTACTTTAGATTATTTCTTTTCAAAGGAAAACATTTTAAATGGTTGAAAAAGCGACTGGCTTGTTGTGCAGATAATATATTGATTTATGTAGATATTGTCTTTGGAATTGTATCAAATATATTTAAAACTCTCCATTTGACCAAAAGCTTTCCAAAAATCCTCTGTGATCTGTGAATGCATTCCTTTTTTTTCTCCCTCTAAAAATACAGAAGTAGCTAATCGGTCTCGATCAGTTTTCCTTGGTTATTCGACATCCTGTCTGCAAAAATGAGAAATCCTTGAACACGCGCTGCTCTATCTTCCGGGGCCGTCGGGGGTGGGGGAGGTAGGGATTATTTTCTTAAGGAGATTCCTTTTTGATTTGTTCCTATTTCTGTTTTCTAAAGTGGTGTAACTTGCAACAGACATACAGCAGGAGAGAAAGGATTAGAGGAATGAAAGTGAATCATGAGATATTATTTTTATTTTTCTACAGAGTAACAGAAAATTCAAAGATGTTTCATTGCCTGGGAGGAAATGTACTGGGGTTTATGATGTTTACTTTAGTGCAGTGTTACGTATGTGACCCCTCTGGTTCAGTCTGACATTCTTGCATCCATATTTATTGACTTGCTTGGTCTCCATCATGCGTTACCATCCCAACTGTGTAACAAGACGTAGGGTGGAGCTCATCAGAGCAGAGTTACATAAGGCTGCGTTTTTATGACCCGCTTTACTGCCTTTGTAGGAGACTCGGTTTTTTTCAGCCATACTGGAAGGGAAGAGAAGCAAAAGGAAAAAAAGTTAGAATCCGTTCAGCGACCCTGTTGGATAGTAAACCCACCAGCACAGTCAGCTGTTTCTTTTTTTTTTTTTTTTTTTGCAGCACCTCATAATACGTGTCTTTGTTGGTTCCATATGAGAGGGGCTTTGTTCGGTCGAAGGCAAACCTGTGGAGGTTCAGCTGCAGCTGTAATGCTCAGGAAGCGAACGTGAATAAAGCTATTAATCTCTAACTTCCAGTGCCATCCTGCACTGCTTTAAACTTTCGTCATAGCCTCGGGTTTGTTTGCCAGTCTGTCTGTCAGCTCGCTCAAGCTTCAGGCGGGAAGGTGTTTTTTGTTAAGGAGTGTTTTTCTTTTTTTGCCCTCATGTTCCTTTTTTCCCGTAGACTGAAGGGCTGGGCAGCTTATAGAGTCGGTTCACGTTTCTCTGCTCTCATCATCTGTTTTTTATTTGACCATCAGAGGTTTTCCAACTCAACTTGACCTCAAAGCCATTAAAGAGACGTTTTAATTCTCCAGTCTCGTCCTTTTATTCCTGCTCCAGGGTGTCCCTCATTCTTCCCTAATTACATTAAAGATTGCTGTGGTAGAACTTTCTAAAACTGCCCCAAATTATTGAAAGAAGGGTGGTGATTGAGTGCACCAGCCTTGCCTTTGATCATTTGTGAACCCCTCCCAAAAGTAAAAAATGGACACCGGCTGCAAGAAACAATAAAGCGATGGTAGCCATCAGCGCTTTGTTTACGGGATCTTAGGCGAGGCTCCCCAGGCTTCCCTTTGCATGCGAAACTACATTGATGAGTTTGTCGCTGCTGACAGCGTTGAGTCTTTCACCAGCTGCTGACTAAGAAGACAACGCAACTTTTCAAGCTGCCCACTTTTGATTGTGTTCTTGGAAACAGAAACCCATATTTGGAGACACGTCTGATATTAAAAAGATGCATTTCATGGTTTGCAGCAGGATGGGTGTGCCCAACTTCTTTATTTGTTTTGTAGATTCAAACAGACACACCTCTAACTAGCAGTTTGAAATGGTTTAAATATTGGATCACTGCAGCTCTGTATATTGAACAACACCCTAATTCTTCTGTTCCTTTTTTTTCCCCCTTTTCCATCTCTCTCCAACCACAGCGACGGCTTTGGCCGGGTTGGACATGATGCCGGGACAGATACCCGACCCTTCGCTGGCGGCAGGCTCCCTGCCCAGCCTCGGCCCGCTGGCGGGCATCTCAGCCACCACCCTCACCGATCAGCTGAAACTGGCCGACTTCCACCAGTTGGGCACCATGCTGTCGCCGCTGCATTTCCTGGGAAGGCTGGGGAAGAGGCCGCTGGCCATCAAGACTGAGGTTAGGGAAATGTGTGAAGAAAAAAAAAAAACTGAAACTCAGAATTCCTGCAGCGCCCAGGTAGTGACCGACCTTCCACTTTTTGTTTGTTTGTTTGCAGATGGACGAAGACGAAGAAAGAAGGAAACGAAGACGAGAAAAAAACAAAGTAGCAGCAGCACGATGCCGAAACAAAAAGAAGGAACGTACTGACTTCCTCCAAAGGGTGGGTTCATGACTCAGCTACATGTACCAAGCAACAGCAGAGTTGGGGCTAAGAATAAACTGACTTTAAGTTTCACAAAGCTTCACAGTTAGTCAAAGAGAGCCCTGCGTCTCCTGCCTTAGCATTACGGCACCAGGGTGTTGGCACTTCCATAATAAATCTAAAAGCTCCATGTTTTCCTCCAGGAATCAGAGCGTCTGGAAATGGTCAACTCTGAGCTGAAGTCTCAGATCGAGGAGCTCCGTCTGGAGAGGCAGCAGCTGATGGTGATGCTCAACCGTCACAGGCCGACCTGCATAGTGCGGACCGACAGCGTGAAAACCCCAGAGAGCGAGGCCAACCCGCTGCTGGAGCAGCTGTCCACCGAAACCAAGTGAAGACGGGGGGGGAACGGAGGGCTCAGAGGGCCCTGAAAGCTGAGCTTGGACTGCCGAGGCAGACGTCTGAACAGACACAGGACTGGCAACAATATTCTGAACGAGCACATGAGCTGTAGCCATACTGCTACATGGAGTCGGCTCTTTCCATTGGGAGACTGGAAAACACACACAGTGCCTGCCACGTTGCTACATCATCCATCTTTCCTCAGAGGGACCAATGGCTGCAAAAGATATGGTTGGAGAAAGATGCGAGGATTCACACTAACAGCAACATGGTGCTCTGTTACCAAAGCCCTGGGTAGAGAGAGGAGGTGCACAAGGACTTAGCAGTTCTACGGTCTTCCTACATATCCCAGTCATATAACCCAGGTGTTGAACTTTTAGGTTTCAAAACCCAGTTCAGATACACCAGTGGGAGTACAGTTGTTCAATGTTTTTTTTATTTAGCGTTCTCTATCCTGCCTCGAGGATGGCAGGTACCGGTTGATCCGATTCGTGGTGGCGCTGGCGTCATGGAAAGCACATATTCACACAATGTTTACACTTATTTTTTAGACTCGTGTTTTCATTATTGTACTTGTTTTATACGGCTTTGTATACAGATATGAAATGCTTGTTAATCACTTGATGTGATTTTTGTCTTTTTTTTCCCCCTATCTGCCGCGTCATGCTGACGGACAGCTGCGAAAAGAAGCAGCCGAGCGTCCGCTCTGCATCTGTATCTATGTACGAAACTGCATATCCTGAATAGATTAAAGTTTATTTTCTAACTAAAAAGGAAAAGCTGTGATATGTTTCTTATATGCAAAACTAAGTTTCATTTGGACTTGCAGTCCTAATGCAATTAAAGATCAAATGTTGGGCAATCATGATTTTTTTTTTTTAACACTAAAGTGTATTGCCAGAATCAGGTTTTAACTTTCATTTGCACAACTCTGAGAAATACCGTCACGCTTTCATTTCCTTCTCTGATATCTCCTTTTTTATTCTCGGATCAGCAGCAGTGAGAGATTTCAAATGTACAGACATAACAGATATTTAAGTGATGGGATCACCTATCGCTGTGGTCCTTACTGCCAATTACTGATTGCTTCTTTTAGATACTTGGAGGAAATCTCTAATCCAAAAGCGAATACCAAACGGCTGAATTCCAGACTTGCAGAGTCCTTTTCATTAGATAAAGAAAACCTTCCAGCTGCACAAATTATTGCATTGGCCCAGGAAACCCTCTGAAGATCTGTATGGAAATAGTTTGTTGCTTTTTCCACAAACTCAAGATAAACCACTGTATGCAAAGAATTGATCTGCAGCTGACTGCCCTAAAAGCTTAATCTACAACGCTGAGCAATGTATTGCAGTAAATCGATACTGCTGCCAGACAATACATCATCTGCTAAGCATTTTATTGATGAACATGGAGCAGTTTCTAGAAGGCAGCACGTTTACTGGTTCAAATCCCACAGAATGCCACTTGATGCCACCATGAAGGAAAGGTAAAATGGCTAAATTTATTGCCATGTGCAAAGCCGCAATGACCAATAAAGGTAATTATCATTTGAGCGTGTCCAGTTCTGCATCTCAGTCCCTGCTTGCAGAGTAAAACAAATAATTTAAGCAGTAATTAAGAGCCATCCGTCTATTGGAAAGCAGGACTATAAAATCAGGCTGGGATGGCCTCCTTCCAAACATTTAAGTTTCAGAAACATGGTCCCTACTTAGAAACTCCCTACATTAGGGCTGCAACTAACGATTTGCTAATCGATTAATCTGTTGATTTTTTTTTCTATTAATCAATTTCTAATCAAAAAGTCCCTTAAAAAGATTTTTTTTTTTTTTTAAGAATCTATAAGCGGTTAAACTAAATCGTTTCCACTTATGGAGTTTCATATGGAGCATATTGAAGGATGAAAATGTTTTTTTTATAATTGAACATTTTTTATATATCCAATTCTAAAATTGGGTATAATTACTGCTCTAAATGGGTTGCTCTGTCAACTAAAGGCTATTTTACAGTCTCTACACTCCTGTTAACGATTAATCGATTACTAAATTAGTTGGCTATTTTTCAATAATTGATTAATCATGATTAATCCAAATAATTGTTTCAGTCCTAAAATACATGAAGGTTTATTATTTGCATTTAAAAGGAGGAACATGAGCATAAAATGTTTATGTGCAATAATTGGAATTGCAGACTTTTAAGCATTTCTAACATCTCAGGTAAAAAGCTGTGTGGTGATTCTGCTTTTTGACGTACCTTCTGCCCAATGTGTGTATGTGGTGTGAGGCCAGTGGAGGAGCAAGATTATTTGCAAGGGCTGGTCGGTTGAGGGTGAATATGCACTAAGCACACAGCACCAATAAGAAAATGAATGAGCACAAAATCTGCATTAACCTAAATTACTGCAGAAAAACTTTAATGGTAATGTAAATTTTAATAGTTGTAGTAATGTAAGTCCCTTTATTGTCTCATAATAGGACACTCATTGCATGTAAGCCATCGCCTTGGGAAGCAGGTGGCTGCCATTTTGCAGCGCCTGGGGAGTAGTGTGAGGTTAAGGGTCTTGCTCAGGGTCCCTGAGTGCAGACTGTTGGGATTGAACCAGGTACTTGCAACCTTTTCAGAACACTTGTGCTCTGAAAAGGCCAACACTCCCCACTATGTATAGACCAGGCATCCCCAAAGTTGGTCCTCGATGGCCGCAGTCCTGCAGGTTTTAGAGGTTTCTCTGCTTCAGCACAGCTGATTCTGATGATTGCAGTTCAGTAAAAGCCTGTTAATCAGCTATCAATGTAAATCAGCTGTGCTGGAGCAGAGAAACCTCTAAAACCTGCAGGACTGCGGCCCTAGAGGACCGACATTGGGGATGCCTGGTATAGACATATTGATAAATATTTGCTGTCTAAATAATTAAATCATTGATAATACATATTTTTCACATTAAATGGACTGAATAGTTGTATCTCTGTGTATGTGGTATCTTTTTTTTTACAGCACAAAAAGGAGCCTGATGTAACTGAGACTGACGGCCAACATTGCCCTCTAGTGGACACTTGTAGGACATTCACAAAAGAAAGTTGATCCTGTACAAACTGTTGTTTACGAAAGAGCTGTTTTTTTTTTTTTTTCTTTTACCCATTTTTTTTTTCTTTTGACTATTTCATAAAGAGATGATCTTCTCTGCACATTTTAACATCCGTTTGGCAAAGGGTTTTCTAGAAACTGGGAGAAGAGAGACACAGCTGTGTGATCAGTCAGGAACGGAAAAAGATCCAGAACAAATCCAATCTGAAAGGAAAAGATCTTTGACACAATTATATAGTTTAAAACTAGTGGAGAGTTTAAAGTGTCTCAATAATAGATTTTAAAACAGTTGTTATCAGGGCACGAGGGTCTTAGGAGCCCCCAGATGTCCTGATAAAAGCAGCATTATATTATTTTGTGGTATTTTGAGTCATTGCCTGAATATATCAATGATTTTTGTGTCACTACATGTTCCCTAGGTTTTCTTGTCTTTAATATTATCCAATCATCCATCCTTAGGCGTCTTCTTGGTTGAGACTGGATCACTAGTTTGACCTAAAAGAAAGGTGTAAAGACACTAATCCACTGATATAGAGGAGCAGTGAATCCATTCCTAGCTACTTCTGTATGATTCACACTAAGCACCCCATCCCACTGTAATATCTCCTTACACATCAATGGCTTTTTTTTGGCTTAGCTCTTTCTTTACCATAAAAAATTTGCAGCAGCATCCACATTACCAAAAGAGGCCCCTGATCTATCCATCTACCGCTTCATCTTTACCATCCTAGGCTTTATCAAGAAAGCATCCTTTAAAGATTTTTGAGCTCTTCCTCATTAATGATCATTTTCTCACCGTCTAATTCTTCTGTTTGTTCAGTAAATAGTTTAGCAGTTTGGTCTTGTTCTGATCACCTGTGAGCCAAACCTCTGCATTTAATCCTTTCAACCTATTTACGAAAGCTCCCATGGAGCTTCTTCCAGGAGTGCCCTAAAACCTCCTTAAATAGTTTTCACTTTGTTCTTTTGAAAACAACAGTGGCAATTCAACATCTGTTTTATTACAGCTCTAAAGGTCAGATAACATGCAGAGATCTGAGTGTGTGTATTTTTTTTCCCAGATTCTCCATTAAATTTGTTTGGACTTTGACTAGACCATTGCAAGACGCTAGCTTCCAGGATTGCTCTTTTTTTTTTTTTTTTTTTTTACCTCCATCTATCTTCCTCTCATGTATTACAGCTTCAATGTTCTTGATGAAGAAAAGCATGATTCTACCACTATGGGTTACCATACAGACATACTATTGATGGTGAGTGTTCCTTTTCTGCTGCATTTTTTTTTTAAAGAGGACCAAGAGGTGTAACTTACATCTCTACACTGCACCTCCCACAACATGATTGCTATATCCCCTAACTAGCTTGCAGAAAACGGCAAACAGTATCTCTCATGACTTTGTATCAGTGACGGCCCTCGTCTGACTTTGACAAACTGTAAGGTTTGTGAGCTGATGCATAACTCCAAAAGTGTTGTGCACAACTGCATGTGACTAAACCTCCAAATATCTGACACCAGCCCGCAGCATTGGGCCTCATCAGGTGGGTGCGCCGAATCCAAAACAGTCTTCAGGTATGAGAATGGGAAGAAAAAGCGGAGCTGGGCTCCACATCAAAAGGAGCGTGTGCGAGATGAAGAATAGAGCCAGATGCTGTTAAATGGGAGCTCTGAATGAAGCAGCTTGTAAAGGAAAGAGCTGGCTCATGAATAGGGATACGAAGCATTACTTATGCAGGTGCTGCAGAGCTGGATTAGAAGGACGAGCTGGTTAATTGTCTCAAGGTGTGATATCCAATCGGTTTCTGTCAGGTGGCTCCAGTGGCAACAAGGAGACAATGACATAAGTGTATCTGTTCTTTGTGGCATGTGTAAATAGATTTATTTCCAACAAATGTGAGTACACATTTGTTGGAAAACATTTAACAGATTAACAGTTGAGATTTTCACACTCAAATCTAAAATTCATTTTGGGGCTACTAATAATTTCATTATTTTTTATTTATTAATTCCTATAAAATCAACCAATTCATTGACTCACTCAGGGTACAAAAATACACATATTCAGCTAAATATATACGTGTTCGCAAGAATCCTTTATTGTACCTTATTTAAGAGCTTGGTGATATTTTGTTAGTAATAAAGTCCTGAAAACTACTGTGAAAATAAGTTTTATATTAGCTTACTTTGACATTTGGGCCATTTGGTCAAGATGACAACATATATAATTGGAAGCATCAAGGTTAGGATTCTACACTAAAGAGCACAATGTCAGTTATTAAGAATGGTGGTGGTAGTATTATGCTGTGGGACTGTCTTTTATTTTTAGTCTGGAATCTTGCTGCACATTTTTCTCATATTAACCATAAAGATTTTGATCATCTTCAGTTATTTTTTTATTTTTATTTTTTTTAAATCAATACTCTTCACTAGAACATAGGAGCTCACTTCACTCTTGTTTCCATTGGTTAACACTGCATCGTTTAAAAATTAATTTTCAAAACTTGCTGTTAAACTTTCAGGTCAAATATCTTCCAATATACTTCAAAGGTCCTCTAAATAGAATTGAAAGGGATCGCTCTTTTCAGACTGTTGCATCTCGACTGTGGAGCGAGAGCCTCCTATTTTTATAATGTCTTCAGATATTTGACATTTAAACATCACATAAAGAAATTCGGATCCATGCTTTTCTTTAATATTTGTTTTTATGTTTATTCCCCACCTTTGTGAAGCACTTATTTCTTTTTATCTATTATTCAGTCAGTGACATACAAAGTAGTTCAGAACCTTTAGAAAAGGTAATTAAATAAAAAATTATGAAAACACAGAAGCTCTTTTCACCCTCTTAGAAATTGTTGTCCTGTTTTAGCATGCAAATGTAAATATATTCTGATTAAAGGTATATGAATTGTATTCCTGCCTGTTTCATTAGCGTATCAAACTCTGACACCAGACTAGCCCCACATCATTATACTACCACTAATATCCTTGACATGTACATGGTGGTGGTAGTATCATGCTGTGGGGCTGGTCTACTGGTACCGTCAGAATTCAAATCCAACACTACTTTACCACTCAAACATGTGGTAGCAGAAAACTAGCCCCATAGTATGATACTACCACCACTATGCTTAACAGGTGGTGATGGTAACTGTGTTTATACAACCAGGACAATCTGTCAGGCATGATGGTGGAAGTATTATGCTATGGGTCAAGTCTTCTGCTACCACCATGTTTGTGAGATAAAGTAGTGCTGGATTTAAATGATGAGGGTGTAAATAGACAAGCCCCCACAGCATGAAACTACCATCACAATGGTCAGGTCCAGAATTTTAGTGGTAGTATAATGATGTGGGGATAGTGTGTTTACAAAGGGCTGCAAAAAGACCTTCTTATGTGAATCAGCAGTTTATGAGCGTCGTTTAGTTTTATGTAAGCAGCTAAGCAAGTCAATTTTTATTCAGCAAAAAAAAAGTAGGAACAGAAGTAAATAATGATCAAAATCAAAATACTTATTTTTTTTTTATAACTTGTGAAAACATTTAGCTGAATGCCTTTATTAGCACCTGTATAGATAAATCCACAATAGTTTAAAACGTTCCCACCTAGTTTGCGCTTTTTTGCACCTATGTTGCAGTTTTCAGTATATTTGCACAGAGGTGAGCAGGTAGTTTGCTACTTATTGTTGTTAGCATCATAAATGACATAGTTTCTTGTTTCCCGTTTTATTATAAGGATTGCTTGGTAATAGTGACTACATCCATGAAGATGACCTTATCAGAAATATCCTGATGTCTAATGTTAAATGAGAGGCTTTTTAAAACACAAATAACGAATACTTTTCCTTAAACATTTTGAAATGGTTCTTCAAACAGCAAAATAAGACATAAAAAAACTTTAAATTACAGAAATCACAAACAGTTCTTATAAAACAGAATTGCTATAATTAGTCTATTTAAAAGAGAAGCAAAACAGAATAATTTAGGTAAATTATCTCTCTGATGTGGCCTAATGAAAACAAACACCTTGCTGCCAATTTCTGATGGGCCATCTTTCATCTGAATGGACACAAAGACTTGAAACCCACGTCTTATTGAACTGTCTGATTGTAAATTCACAGATTTGGCCAAATTTCCAAGACAAACACAAAAAACCTGCCAGCAAACCCTTCAGATATCTATGCACCCCCTGGCGCAGGCTGCCAATTAGCATGATCTCTAAAGCGCTAATGGAATCTTGAGCTGTCATAAAAGTAAATAATTAAATTAGAGGGGCTCTCCTGTCATTGTTTGCTGTATTCGGACCCATTAGAACCTCCAGTATTCTCATGGTAATTAAATGTTGCTGAGGTTTATTTGTCTTGTAATGAATTCTGTGTTTTCTCTCCAAACAGAGTTGTTCAGACATTTGTGTAGGTTCTGGCAGAGAAACAAAGACGTACATTAGGAGCTATTGTCACCCCCCCTTCCTGCGATTATAAAAGTAAACATGAAACCCTGAAGAGGCATCATCCACAGCTGCACACACTTGAGCTTGTGTTTGTGAAGTGGGAGAATAGGCCTCAAGACTTCGTCAGAGATGATCCCATTATTCGAAGCATCTCAAGAGTCGAGGGGAGCCTCGCAGGTCGATGGGGCTTTGAAGACCCAATGTTTGGTTCACAGGAGTGGGACAGGTTTGGCACAAGATAAAATGGCTCAGCAAAGATTGACAAGGAGACCTGTGCTTTCATTTTTGCTGACATATTACTTCCAAGTCCTTAAAAAAAACATAAATGTCCAACTATGATTCTTTCTGTTAATAGTAATCATGAGGAATCTAAACTGAAAAGGGAATCTAATCTAATCTAACCTTAAAGTCGTAGGGAAGTCATATTTAAATATTAAATCATTCTGGCTTAAACATGTATATAAATGCACTCTTTATTAGACCATATTGTCCCAAAAGTTATAAAATTTCTATAAAAAAAACCCCTGTCTTAAAATCTGTGGGTTTTTTTTCGTTATTTTATGCAGGCCAGTTAATTGTACATCAGCTTGTACACCTAAATTCGGCCAATCATATATCAACGGTCATCTGTCAATCTAATTTTTTCGGTCATAGCATCTTATGTCGCGGCTAATATACGCAACGGTTGAAAGAAGAAATAGGAATAATTTATTTTACCATTGAGTTCCTTCCCACTGTTCACGGGGATGGATGTCTGTGTCTTCGGCAGCTGTAGAGCTAACAGAACTGGCAGCGTTGCAAGGCAAGGGCTCAAACATGTACGGCTGTAAGCCTTCTACACCAAACCAAGATTCTGCCGCCCTGGCGTCCTCTTCCATAGCAACTTCGTCCCTACTTTCCTCCTCTAAAAAAAAATGTATGACAGAGTAGACTCATCCACGACCTCCGACACAAAACTCTCCTCCTCTTGCATGTTTCCGCTGTCCATAGCTTTCCTTGACAGTGTTGTTTCTAAGTCACTAATTTAGTGCTAATTGGTCCCAATGGAATTTCCCATTGGGAACTGACTAGTGCTAAGTTACTGGTTAGCAAGATGCTTCTGACAAACCGGCCACAACTAAACTTGCTTGCGAACCTTCTGCCATAACAATCCAACCCCCTTGATAAACGACCATTATAATTCACTTGTGTAAAGTCGGGCACCACTCGGGAGAGTTCGGAACTACAACCGTTGGAACAGCCGCTTCCCTACGACTTTAAAACTCTGCACCAATCAGAGCATCAACCATCAGATGCATTGATATGATTAATAATCAAATGTTACAAGATAAATATATAAATTGGATTTGTTTAATAGGAACTCTTGCTAATGACTGAGACACCAAGGATTTGTTTACATCACTTTTTATTATTAATGGTAGTTTTGATCATTTTGCTGTTTTAATTAGGACATTTCGTAAAAAATGTTTCCAGTTAGACTCCAAGTTGCTTCAATAAAAATTCCGTTTAATTAAAAGCCTTTAACATAAGCTCTGGTAGTGGCAGCATCAGATTGGAAGGGTCACTTTATTAGACGTTTTATACAACATTTTAATTGATTTGGGACTTTAAAAAATGAAACATCAAGTATTATAAAGATTACCAAACACTGGAAGGTAATTTATTTGGATCTGTAACAATTAAAGCTTTGGGTTCTTCTAAAAAAAATAAAAAGTATGGTGTTCTCGATTCAGATCTAGATCCATTTGGGGGTTGGGAATGTTTCACCTTCACCTGACTTTACTCATGCAACTTTGGAGGATAATTTGTCTTTCTGCGGCATTCATTTAGTGTAGTCAAACTATTTTGAAGGATTAATGAGATGTGTGGAGCATCACATGTCCAGGAACAGCAGCCGGGGATCTTCTACCACTTCTTTGATCTTACGCAAGAACTTGACCGCTTCCCTGCCGTCGATGAGCCGGTGGTCGTAGGTCAGCGCCACATACATCATGGGTCGGACTTCAACCTGCAAAAACAGACCGTTTTGTTCATTATATCCTCATATAATACAATGTTCTTCTAACAGGTAGATCCTTTTGTTAAGATACAAAGCCAACCTTTCCATCGACGGCCACTGGTCGGTCGAAGATGCCATGCATGCCAAGAATGGCCGACTGCGGGGGGTTAATGATTGGGGTGCCAAACAGGGAGCCGAACACGCCACCATTGCTAATAGTAAATGTTCCTCCATCCATATCTTCAACAGATAGCTCATTTTTACGAGCCTGATGAAAAACAAGAAAAATACTTCTCAGAATTCTGCAGTAAGAAAATAAAAATGTCTGCAGGTGGCGTTTACCTTTTCTCCCAACAAATTTATGGCTTTCTCAATCCCAGCAAAATTCATAGCTTCAACGTTACGTAGCACTGGTACCACAAGACCCTACCAGGTGAAAGGCATGAAGAAGTAAAACTACATCAGATTTGTAGGAAGTCAAAGTCATCAAGACTTTAGCAGCAGTAGTAACAATCATTATACACTTTTAATTAGTGAAAGCCATACCTTTGGAGTTGCCACGGCAATGCTAATGTCAACATAATCTCTATAGATGATCTCTTTGCTTGTATCGTCAATGACTGGAGGAAAAAATATAATAGAGTTTGACTCAAAGATAGATGCTCGATCCAACATAGGTCAGCTTCTATGGAGAATCTGGGCCTGTGATGAAACTAGAATGTTAAAAACAAACCCCATGTTCCACCGTATGCAGAGATACTTGCTGCAATGTGTTGCAAAAGTATTCAGACCCTTTCAACTATTTTATGTTTCATTAGTTAATCCTAAAATGTCAGTTTGGGATTCTTTGTGGTAACTGAAGTGAAAAGAAAACGTTTTTTAGAAAACAAAAAAGGGGGAGAAAAGGAAAAGTCAGCCTCCTTTACTCTGATATCCTTAAATAAAATCCAGGATCCAAAAACAGGATTCTTGAACAAACCACATAAATAGTCTTGTCATAAAAATTTGGAAGTTTATAACAGTTGCTTGGGGAATAAAACAATAATCCAAAGGTCTGGAGTACCATTCAAGCTTTGATTGTAAAAATGGAAAACAGCATTGAACAACAAGACATGTAACCGTGCACAGAAATGTAAAAATCCCATGGAAAAAGGTACTCTGGTTCTATGAGATTAAAATCATACTTTTTTGGCCTATAAGCAATATTTTGCTAAAAAAAATAACCGCAACTGGAGTGAAACATTGTGTTTGTACTGGATTATTTTCTCCACCACAGACAGGAACGCTGGTCAGAGATAACAGGAAAGTGAGGGCCAGCTACACTATATTGCCAAAAGTATTTGCTCACCTGCCTTGACTCACATATGAGCTTAAGTGACATCCCGTTCCTAATCCATAGGGTTCAATATGACGTCGGTCCACCCTTTACAGCTAGAACACCTTCAACTCTTCTGGGAAGGCTGTCCACAAGGTTTAGGAGTGTGTTTATGGGAATTTTTGACCATTCTTCCAGAAGCGCATTTGTGAGGTCGCACACTGATGTTGGACGAGAAGGCCTGGCTCTCAGTCTCCGCTCTAATTCATCCCAAAGGTGTTCTATCGGGTTGAGGTCAGGACTCTGTGCAGGCCAGTCAAGTTCATCCACACCAGACTCTGTCATCCATGTCTTTATGGACCTTGCTTTGTGCACTGGTGCACAGTCATGTTGGAAGAGGAAGGGGCCAGCTCCAAACTGTTCCCACAAAGTTGGGAGCATGGAATTGTCCAAAATGTCTTGGTATGCTGAAGCATTCAGAGTTCCTTTCACTGGAACTAAGGGGCCAAGCCCAGCTCCTGAAAAACAACCCCACACCATAATCCCCCCTCCACCAAACTTTACACTTGGCACAATGCAGTCAGACAAGTACCGTTCTCCTGGCAACCGCCAAACCCAGACCCGTCCATCAGATTGCCAGATGGAGAAGCGCGATTCGTCACTCCAGAGAATGCGTCTCCACTGCTCTAGAGTCCAGTGGCGGCGTGCTTTACACCACCGCATCCGACGCTTTGCATTGCACTTGGTGATGTATGGCTTGGATGCAGCTGCTCGACCATGGAAACCCATTCCATGAAGCTCTCTGCGCACTGTTCTTGAGCTAATCTGAAGGCCACATGAAGTTTGGAGGTCTGTAGTGATTGACTCTGCAGAAAGTTGGCGACCTCTTCGCACTATGCGCGTCAGCATCCGCTGACCCCGCTCCGTCAGTTTACGTGGCCTACCACTTCGTGGCTGAGTTGCTGTCGTTCCCAAACACTTCCATTTTCTTATAATACAGCTGACAGTTGACTGTGGAATATTTAGGAGCGAGGAAATTTCACGACTGGATTTGTTGCACAGGTGGCATCCTATCACAGTTCCACGCTGGAATTCACTGAGCTCCTGAGAGCGACCCATTCTTTCACAAATGTTTGTAAAAACAGTCTGCATGCCTAGGTGCTTGAATTTATACACCTGTGGCCATGGAAGTGATTGGAACACCTGATTCCAATAATTTGGATGGGTGAGCAAATACTTTTGGCAATATAGTGTATATGACACAGTTTGGAGCTCTGCTTGTGTTCACTTACCAGCGTTGACAGCAGGTTGATCCATCAGAGCATGCGAAGCCGCCTTAGCAAAAGCCGACATGAAACCCAGTTTGACGTTGTGCTTCTGTAAGAAAGCCTCCTTATAGAGCTTCCTCATTTCCTTGATATTACTAGAAAACATGGCAGACATGACAGCAGATCAGGGAAGATGGAATCAGAAGTGAAGCTTGCAGTCCAAGATGTTTCCAGTGGTTTTCCTTAACTCACCTCATGTCTACTTCGTTGAAGGTGGTCAGCATGGCGCAGGTGTTCTGAGCTTCCTTGAGCCTTTGAGCAATTCTTAGCCTCATACGGCTCATTCTTTCCTGAACACATGAAACAAACCTGCAGTCTGTATTCCTTTAAATTTGGTGTAAATGCCTAGAAAGAAACAAATGTTCCCTCAGCTTTTCTTTACCCTGCTTTCCCCTCGGATTCCCGCTGCTGGAGGTGCTGGAGCTACATGAACGGGTTCGACAACAGCAGCTACACCAAGAAGTGAGGGGAAATAGTAGAAAACAACAAATTAGACCATAGAAAAAAAAAAAACTTTTCTATTTTATTAATAACTGATGGTGTTGAGATACATACCAGGTGGGGCTGAATCAGGCTGTGGTGGAGGTTGGAAGGAGGCAGCAGAGGTAGAGGGCTGAGATGGAGGTGGGGATGAGGCAGCAGAGGTAGAGGGCTGAGGTGGAGGTGGTGGATGAGCAACATCCTCTGTAGATGGGGAAGGAGCAGCATCGGCAGCTGGAGCAGCTAAGAAGTGAGATGTTAGCTGTATGAATGGTTTAATATTAATACAAACACACCATGCTTTACAATTATTGGCATTCCTGATAAAGATGTGCATAAATGCCTTAAAGCAAACAGTTGATATAAAGATTCCTTTACATTAGTATTTGTTCTCTCACAATAATATTTCCTTCCTCCTTCTTCACTATCCTCCTGACTATTCATAGTGGCAAGATATAAAATAGTTTATAGACAATGCCAAATATAAAGGCATCAGTTGAATTTATTCTGTAAAAATTGATGCAATGTTTTTTTTTAACCAGTAAAAACAAAATAAAATGATTTTTCTCAGTGGAACATTCTGCTGCATCAGTAAAACAGGAAGATTTTTGAAAACATATTATGAATATTTAACACGTTGTGTTAAAGATACTATAAAGACTTACTACATGTATGTCCTGCTATACTTCTTTATTGCCTTTATATTTTAGGCCACATTTTATTCAACTTTCCTACGTAAAAAAATAGTGAATTTAAATCTTTGAAATTGAAAAACAAAACATCAAATCATCTACTTTCAATTTCCTTCAAGATTAAAAAACCCATTAACAAAAAGTCCACCGCATTATGCTGCATAGTGAGTCTTGTATACCTATGGATCAAGTTTGTACCATTTATTGTCTTTTTAAGACAATTAAAGTAAAAATTTTTATAGCAACATTCATACTCTAAGTTAATCATGGGGATTTAGAGGGAAATAAAGGAACAAACGTAAATAGTGCTACTTAGACTAAGCATATAAAAGAGAACAAATACAAATTGATTATTTATTCATAATTCATTTAGGCCCAAGGACATTAAGTGCATTATATACCAGAAATAAGACACTCTTTATAAGAGTGTGCCACTTTCTATTCAGTCAGGGTGCTTTTAGTGATATTTTGCTTGAGCTAAAGCTGCAAGATTAATGTTATTCAGTTTTTGCAACAATCATGGTCATATAGGCAACAAACAAACCTGCTGATAAAAAAAAAAAAAAGGAGACATCAATTTCAACCTGTTCGCACAAAATGTATTTCATTTTGACGGTATTTATAGTAGCAGTATAAAGTCTGTAAAGGGACTTAGGTTTCTGATAAGGTCTGTATCTTATTTAGTCTGGTTGATTCCTAATCACTAACACTGTGGTTTGGGGACCCCAAAAAAAATATCTCTGTATTATCTGCATTTAGACTGAAAAACATGCATAATTTACTTATTTATTTTATAGTCTTTCAGTTGATATTAATGGCTGTTTTTATGTGTTAAAATAAACATTTAAAGTTGAATATAATATGTGTGTAAAGTATATTTAAATGATTATATTCTAAACTAGGAAAAACATATAGGCACTGATAAAAATGGGCAGAAAATTAAGCACTAAGGAACTCCAAATGTTGTATATGTATAGGAAAATCTAAATTTCTAAATATAAAGATTTTATATAAAAAAAAAAAACTAATTAGCATGGTTAATGTTGTAAAACCTTAGACAATACTTTTGTCAAAATGATCAAACCTGTTTTCCGTAGTTTGAACAGCGGAGTTCCGGTTTCCACCCTTCCTCCATCGGGGACCAGCAGCTCCTCGATCACACCGGCTACAGGCGTAGGGACTTGAATTGATGTCTGGAAGAGGAAGGATGTGTTTTCACAGGAAAACCAACAACAAAAACTGAGTTGAATTTTCCATATCAAACCTTGTCAGTCTCGACTTCACACACCACTTCATCCTGTGCTACCAAGTCACCCACAGCTTAAAATAAAAGAAATTAAAAACTGCTTAGTATGCAAAACAGAAAGCTTAACAATATCTCCTTAGAGTTGATAAATACTAACCTTTCTCCCACCTTACATCACCCTCTGTGATTGACTCAGCAAATGGAGGAGTGTTGATTGTCACCAATTCGTCTCCTATAAGAAAAAGTCCAAAAATATATACGAGTTACCATTAGAGACACGAGGAGAGTTCCTTTAAAATGATTATAGAGAATTCTACATACTGTAAGCAGCAGATGTCCTGAAATATCTGCAATGGTATGAACTGGATGGGACCAACAAGAAGGCTCTATGGAAAAAAAAGCATATACAATTGAATAAATTAAAATACTTTTAAACAAGGGCAACTATTTGATCTATCAACTTTCTATTAAATGTCATTAAAGTGATAACATATGTTTAATGTCTGATGTTTTCTTTTATTTTTTGGTAACTCATTAAATGATTAATGTTAAGAAAAATGCTGAAACAAAAAAAAACAAACAAACAAAACAAGTGATCAGAGAACTTACGGCTGGGATTTCCTGTAAACAGTCTGGCTGCAGAGCGATCGACCTTTGAGCAAATAAAGGTTAGATGAGTTAATTTAAAAGCTTGAATCCATGCGAAGAAAAATAATTATTTTTTATCAATAATTTTTGGTCCAGAATGAGACAAATGGTTATGCAGCAGAGGAAGCAACATAAATTGAATACATTAAATCACATAATATAAAAATAAAGTTTATATACACTGCAAAAACAATCTAGAAATAAGTAAAAATGTCTTAAATTAAGTATATTTACCCATAATTTGAGTAGGTAAATGAGATAGTTTGCCAATGGAACGAGTATTTTCACTCTTAAAATAAGATAATTAGATAATATACACTTGCAATAAGACAATCCAATTGTGTTTTCTTATTTTAAGTGTAAATTGTCTTGTTTCATTGGCAAAATGTCTCTTTCACCTCCTCAATTCAAGAACAAATGCACTTATTTTAAGAAAAAATGACTTATCTAGATTTAGATTTTTTTGCAGTGTAGTTGCGGTTTTCAAATCCAGTCAAAGAAAACCTTACCTGATAAATTCGGCAGAATTCTCAAATTATAAACCTTTAAAGCAAAACAAGGGGATTAGATTGATTTACCTCCATAGCTAAAATGTTTCTCTGAATAAAAGGCAGCTTTAAATAAATTTCCTTGCAGGAATGAATTTAGAATAGAATAAAATAGAATAGAAAATCCCTTTAAATTAATTATTTAAAAAAAATGGTAACACAAATATGGACCTTAGGACAGTGTATAAGAATAACATACTAGTGAAGAGTTAAAAGATAAATAATAAAAACTGTACTGTAAAGTCTTTCAATGATATAAATAATGTGCACCTGGAGAATAAATAAACAATATACAGCTATGGACATTTTTACAATAACTGATATTTGAAAATAGCAGCAAAATTTATTGTGTCTCATTAAAATAAAATCCAGAGATTCTCATCCTGTTTAGCAGCCTAAAAAAATAAAAAACTTAGCTATGAATTAAGGGCAGATATTTCTCTAATGATTAGGCCTTTTAAATGAAACTGAAAAAAGTATCTTTTGCAAGCAGATGGATGATAGAAAACAGATGGATGAAAATTTTATCAATAAAGCTAAGACTTTCTAACAGTTATGCTAATCAATACTTGGAAAATGAATTGAATAAAAATGATTTTCCAAACCCTGTTTAATAAATGATTTTTATTGGAGCTTAATTAGAGGGAGCCACATTTTGCTGCTGTTGTTTCAAAAGAAGTTGTAAGATTTTTGTTTACCTTCCATCATTAACATACTGTGAATTACACTACCACTGCTTTAAACTATTTAAATATTAGTTTTAAATGTAGAAAAAGGCAGATTGCTAATGACCTGACTTACATGGCATGTTCTTTTCTTTCCATTTTGAAGTTTGGTTTATCATATTTACACCCCAAGAAAACCAGTGACTGAAATATTATTATAAATTTTGGATTTTAAAGATAAAGGTTTCATTTTTTTAAAACACAGGCCTGTGGATTAATAACTTTTCTTAAACATGCTTTTAAAACTCTTTTTTTCTTTTGAATGAAAATAATACAAATACAAAAAGTCAATTCATTTTGAACCACAGAAATAGTAAGATGGATTTCTATAGAACCTATTTCTAGTTTTTTCTTACATCTTTATGGTTGGGTGCTGATATTTTTGAAAGATATCATGAAAGGTCATTTTCTCAAATTTTTTTAAGCCACTGAAATGTGTTAATTAAAAATGTATGTATTTAACATTTATATAATGTGCAGATAATTTTTGGATTCCCACCTGCCTACTTTTTAAATTGATCTTAAATCCATTATGTGTATATTACAGTGTATTTAACAAGGGGACGTTCCATTAAAATGCCAGTTAAATAACTATTTAACTATGAGTTCCCAGATGGTTCTTGGTATGTTTCAGGAAGCAGCCAATGAATCTATTACCTCGATCTTTGTGAATCAAAACACACATTATTTTTTATGAACGCGATAAAGAATCCTTTTCCTTTCTAGACAGTAAAACACTTAGAGCTTCCACAGCTGGTTAAACCGCTTCATTTTCCGGTGTGGAGGAAACAGACTGCTGTTGGCTTTGAACCATGTATGACTCATATATGTGTGTGTTTTCTGGGCAGGGCCCTCCTCCAAAGCGTTGTTATGTTGTTGTTTTTTTTCCCCTACTAACCTGATGTTTGTCTAGTAAAGCCGCTCATGCTAAAACCTATTGATGTGGGATGTCTGGGGAAGGTGGAGATGGTAAAAGTGCAACCAAACATAGTTCTTTGGTTCATGTGTAGACATGCAGCTATCAGGTTACACCACTTTTAGTGAGTTTTAAAAAGAGCTACGAAGCTATGGAGTTCTTGTTTTAGGGATTTTAGAGCAGGTTTTAATCTTGAATTATTAATGCTTTCCAAATCCAATCATCTGGTTATATTATAAGTATGAGAATACATGACTTTAGGCTGATTTATACTTCGAAACCAGGAACACAACTTATGAAGTTTGACCAGCTAAAAGAGTCAAGTGCGATAGAAGGATGGGACCCTTTTTCCACTTGGATCCACGCTCTTTTTCGCTGTCATGTCCCTCTGTTGTTGGAATAATCAAGAGACCCACAGCGTATAGCGCAGACCAAGCTTCAATATTGAGCATAAATCAAAAATGTCTGCATCAAGCTCACTGCGACACATTGCTGCAGGAGTATAACCAGCCCTTTAGTGTGCAACCATAGTTTGAAGATGTTTTACACCCAAATGAAAACACTAAAATGCCTTTTGGCATGTTGTTCTGTGACCATACAGACTGCAGCCATGAACAACCTTTGAGTATATATTTTTTTATAGATATCAGAGCACTCTTTCCCATTTGCTCCATTTCAAATGGTTGGTTTTCAGACACATGGTCTCTGTAGTTTCAGATATAAGATTCAGGTTCAGGAAATGAAGGTTGTCCCTCCTTCTTTTCCATCCAAGAAGTGCTACTTTTGCCAGTAGTAGTCCCACCATTACTACTGCTGGCAGCAAAGAGCCCCACAGAATGATGGTCCCACCACTATGTCTAGGGCTAAAAGTTGCACCTTGACTTATTTCTGCTTATTTTGGGATGAGTGGGAGATGGACTAAATTATGGTCCATTACTCGTTCTGCTAAAAAGCTTATATTAGATATCAAGCTGCTTTCACTGGCATTTCAAAGTAATTACTGTCTTAAGTCTGATCCATCGGGACGTCCCAGTACAACTTTTTCTAATACTCATACAACGCAGCTTTGAGTATGGCTGATACCAATATCGACCAGAGACAAATATCAGCATGAAACACACATCCTTTTGTTACTTATTTTGAAGTGTGGAATGATAGAAAAGGCCTGATCAGGTTATATTTCTCCAACAGAGAACAACAACCAGCAACATCACGGTATGAAAAAAAGCTGACCTATTATCTATTCACCAAAGAGTTGCATAAACTTTAAACAAAAGCGGATAGAAGCCAAGTGTGTCTGTGAGCTTTCTAATATCAGAGATTTTAAAGGAAATCTGATCAGAGACGTAGTAAGAATTTTTTTTTACAAGGGTGGCCAGGCAATAACCAATGTACACTGAGGGGCAGCTGAAAATTAATCGGCACAACATCCATATTTTCTAAATAAAGAAAAACTATACTTTCCTTCAACCTTTGCTGACAAATAGTGGCATAAATATTGAAAAATCTGTGATTTCTAGATGAAAAGCATAGTGGATACAATTCTTTGAGGTTTGATTTATGGGGCGAACATCTTTTCGATCATTCCATCATTACTTACCTACTTTTATCAATTATAATTCTGCATAAAATTGATATTTACAAGTACTAACATCTACATAAATTATTTAATAAGAGACACATCATTTTCTCTTTACCTCATATAACACAACATCTAGTTCTGAAAAGAGCGTGAATTCTGTACTTATCATTAATGTTAGTATATTAATGTGCATAATTAACCACAGTGTTTTGTTGTCAAGTAATTGTAAATATATGACCAATTAAAAAATATATATATATATATATAAATATTCCACCATCTGTATTAGAGGGAAAAGTGTTTTCATGGGGGCCCAGAAAAGCATGAAAGAGATTCAAATATATTAAGAGAGCTGCATGAAGTGAAATTTCTTTTCAATTCGGTTCAATAAAAATTCTATTTCTTATGAGGTCAATATACATTTATAATTTAGGGATTTTACATATTTTTGACTTAATTTAAGTTAAAACTACAGTTTTCTATAAAATTTTAATTAGAACTCAAGAAAAACTGTTAAATTCATCTGTAAGAATTAGAGCATTTATTAAAAAACAATTAGCAGATGAAAACTGGGATCCTATCTCAGTACCACTGAAGCTATCACCTTATTTGTTTTTGAATGAAAAATGAAAAGGACTTATCAGTAACCATGTCTGTTCCAGCCCAGATCATTATTAGAATTTCTTTTAAGTATTATGTCTTCAGTACAGGGGCCATAACGGGGGCCAGGACATGATCAACAGGGGCACTGGCCCCCGTTGGCCCCTGTCAAGAACCGCCCATGTATCAGATCATATATCAATATCTGATTAGGACAAATCTAATATAATAATATGTATGCATTTTTAATGTTGTTTATTTCTTTATTTTCTATCAGCAATATAACTGCTTTTTTTCCCATTATATATTTTTAGAACATATTATTCCATTAACCTCTTGCTTAAACCTGGTACTGACTGCTTGCATGATTTTATGTTTTCCATCCCAGTTCATTGCTTCGTGCTAATTCTGACTGTATGTGCAGCGCTCCACAATAAAATAAATAAATTTCTTAGTTTTTCTATGATCCAGATTGCTCGGTATGATTTACTGTTAAAGTGAAGAACACTGTTAAGTAAATAACCTTTCTTTCTGTCAAGTTTAAAGTAACTTTAAGCTCTGATTATCTTGTTTCTGCTGATGGCCACTCAGCAGTTTGTTCGGTTCGCTGTCCGTCTCCTCCCTACTTACCTGGTTCGCCGCAGACAGGGACCGACCCAGCGTGCGGTAAACACACGGAGACCGTGACAGCATCTCGATAGCAGGGGAAGATCTTTTTATTATTACCCTGTTTATGGAAGCCGGGTTAAACAGCGATAAGGAAGTGAGCTGGTTCTCCAGAACGGTGGCACTCCCACTGGGAGGAACCAGCGCAACTGGCCGAGGGGCGGGTCTGCTGCACCGAGCGGGCGAAGCAGGAGTTGATATTAATCACACCCCACCACAGCTGGAACCAACTTTTTATTCAGAGATCTTTAGGTGTAGTTGTAGAACTCTTGTGTAGTTGGTAGCAATTATTACTGCATGTAACCATTACAGAAAAATCCTCCAATCCTTGATCTGTCAGAACGTGAATAAAACATCTTGTTGGAATGATACCAAATGGTTTTATTTGTATGTCAGGGGTCTTCAATGCTTATTAGTCCAGGTTTCCCAGACTGAAGGAAATATGAAGCAAAGGCCCCCTTGTCATGTCTGATCTGGGGGGTCAAAGTTTAAATTTCATCTTTGTTCTTAGGAAGATGATAAAACCTGTTAAAGGACTAAACAACTAAATAATTCAAGGATAACTGCAGTTAACAGGTCTTAATGCAAATACTTGGAACATTTGAAAAGATAACTATAACATTTTTTCCTAGTTTAAGCAACATTGTAGATGTTACTTTACATGAATGTATTAACGATCAAACAAGGTAAATCTTAAATTTAGAACCCCCAGTTCACAGACATCTGATGTAGGTCATAAAATTAAATGGGGGTGGAGAATTGACCTCCGCATAATTAGCCCATGCTCTAACTTTTTTTGCAGCTTTTTAATAAAAAACATAATCACATGACATAAAAGATTTTTCCTCTGTGGATCACAACAGCTCCTCAGGGAATCTTCTTCTGCTTGCATGCATGAATATAAATGATTAATTACAGGAAAACCGCATTAATACAGAGATTACTTTTTTTTAATATAAATTATCTCACCTCTGGAGGTTGTTTTTGATAAATCTTTAGGAGTTTCCTTGTGTTTCAAAATTAGTAATTGCTTTGTGCTCAATTACAGACTCCTAAAAAAATGATATATACCGAAGATGCTACTAATCATTTAAACCAAGATGTTTTTCCTTTTTTTTAATATTGGTTTAATGTATGACAGGAAAGGGTGGGAGGGGTTGAGGCATTAAACCACACCTCCTAACCCTGAAGGGCTCTCAGCAGGTTCACTGCAAATAAATAAGCACTCCTTCCTCCTGAAAGCTAGACAACCTTCTGTGGTCTCTAACCGCACTTCTCAGGTAAGATATTATTAATTTGCGCAGATCAAACACTTAAGAATCATCTAATTGTATTTCTCACTTTTTAAGCTTTCAAGCATGAGTCTTTGGAGCAAAGGTATGTATTCCTCCAGAGACATTTGCTTAGATGACTGTGCTGTCGAGCATCTCCACCTCAATTATTCTGAGCCACCATCAACAAATCTAGGTCTTTTTTACAAGGACAGCAAGAGCATTAAAGGGCCGATTCACAGGACTGAAAATGCTCCAGGTTTGCCCTGTTCCAGCCCGCTGGAGTTTGATCTTTCCGGAGGGAGAACAAGATCTCCATCTTCTTACGGTCATCAAGCGAAGCGTGCCAGAGTTGAAAACATCATCAAAGGTATAACCTGCATAGACATGACGCAGAATCTGAATGAGGAGACTGATTGTACGCAGGAGGAGGAAGGGGTTGATGTGTTGGCTTTCCATCAGAAACGCATGGAAACAAGAGGAGGTGAAAGCCTGAGAGAAAGCCATCAGCCCCTCGGAGAGTTCAGGAGGAGTTTCATTCCCATCTGCAGGAATGAGAAGATTCCCAGATGGAGTGTTTCCTCGGAAGCATCCACAGATGAGGGATTTTCTAAATCCTTCAGCGAATCTAAAAGCAGTCAAGATATAAGAGATGAAGAATGGAAGAAGGGGAAGTCTGATGTCAACTCCAAACCGGGTCGGGTGAAGCTGATGGCAGATGTTTTAAAGTACGAGCTGACCCGAGCTGTGAGCAACAGCGTAGACTCCATTTTCAAAAGCATGGCGCTTATACAAAGCCCAACTGAGATGGAGAGTTTAGGCTCTGCTTCCCAGACAGCAGTGTGCATGGAGAGTAAATTACGATGTGGGACTGAAGAGGTTAAGCTCCATGACATGCAAACGGAAGCTCTGTCACTGGTGGTCCAAAAGCCGGAACCAGAACAGCCCAAAAACTTTACACTTCAATCGACATCAGCAGCTCCTCTTATCCCCAAACCTCCCTTCTGTGTCAGCCGGCAGCCTGAGCCATCAGTGCCACACAACAGCACAGATCATCAACGCCATGCTTTTAGATGTTTGCAGGAGGGATGTGCTGAAGGGGAACCAAGATTGGAGACGTACTGGAATTCAGTTAAAGTAAAATCTAAGGTTAACTCCAGATCTGTGAGAAGCCCTCTCGCCATGCCGGTGGATCAAGTGGTTCTGGAAACCCTGCATCTTCCTAATGTGAAGTTAGAACCAGACAGCTTGGAGAAAAATAATCTGTACATGTCTAACGTATCCTTCAGAAGCAATGGAGTCATTCAGATCTTTCACGGTTATCTTGATAGCTTCCATTTATAAATGCTCCGTATGATTTTATAGTCAGCCATAACTTTTTGCTTAATTTGTGGATTTCTTCCTTAACACTGCTGTATTTCAGGAGTGTCTAACAACAAACCACCTGAAAAAAGCAAAGCTGATGTTCTTCTACACTCGCTATCCAAGCTCAGTGGTGCTGAGAATGTGCTTCCATGATGTGCAGGTAAGAAAGGCTTGAGAATCTACCTCAACGATATTTAAAATACTAAAAAAATAGACTGAAAAAAAATCTTCTGTATTTACTAGGTTTGTCTTCAGGGAACCTTTCAAGTCTAACACTGTAATCTTTACTAATATCATTTGCATAAAACTCTGGATAAGAAAACAGACACAACCCATCACAGTTTATACATTTAATCCTTTATTTAACAACTGATATGTACAACAAACATGTTCCAATTTTGTTTTACCAGCTTCCTTACCTAGACTGTGTGTCATCCACAGTTCACGCGCTGCATCACCTCCCAGCTCATTAAGTGGTTCAGCAACTTCCGAGAGTATTACTACATCCAGATGGAGAAGTTTGCCCGGAGCGCTCTCCTCCAGGGGGCGACGGACGTGAGGGATCTGACTGTAGGCAGAGAATCAGAACTTTTCAGAGCTCTCAACATGCATTACAACAAAGCCAACGACTTCCAGGTGAGAAAGATCTATGACCTTCTAAGCTTAGAGGAACTGATAGCTCTCAAAATAAAGACAATTCTAATAGTGTTAATAAAAGGTGAGCTTCTGTTTATACTGACTCAATAATTTTTACTAAATTCATTTTAACTTTCCCCTTAATTTCCTATTAGTTGTATCATGTTATCAGTTACTGCATCTGGACTTTTGTAGTGTTTGGCCTCAATGCTTAAAGATTTAATATTAAGCCTTAAATATCATGCTTGATATCATGTCTTAGGAAACTTGTGAATCCATAGTTTTTAGATTTTTTTCTTCTTTTGGTCTTTTAAAATGTTTTTCTTATATATTTTGCCTTTTATTTTTACATGTTAAAAATAAAAATAATTCAATTAATAAAAAAAAAAAAAAACTGAGGAAAGTAACCTGTTAAACATTTTTAAATGCTGAGTTTATTTTTTGGAGTAAAATATAAAACGTAGAAGCACTGTAACAAAAAAAAAAAAAAAAAAAAAAGCAGAAATCTGTGTATGTATAAACTATATAAGTATATATATAAGTATTTTTATTTTTACAGTTATTGAAAGGATGAACCTATATTATATTGAAACATTCCATTTGATCCGTTAAAATATAACTTGACCAGGATAGCTTGTATTATTAGTATGGGTATTCATTCTTTCTACAGGATCATCACACAGTTCCAACACCTAAGAAAAAAAGTTGATACTATTGAAAATGTCTAGTTATGTTAGTTAATACATTACCATCTCAGAACTAAGATCAGTTAGCAGGATTAGTTTGTTAGACGGAGCTCATAATCTGCATATATTTTTAAGATACTTCCACAATAATAGATTTTTAACAATCATTGCAAATCAGCCTACAATAAAACGTGTAACAGCTGATTATAACCATAAAACATGTGCAGTTTTAATTAAGTTGCCTAAATACCTCCACATTGTTACTTATTTTCAATATCAGCCTAAACTATTAAACTGCTAGATGCCACCTTAAGGTTAATTTTTATTTTTCGTTGATCTGGGTCTAAGTAGAGTAAATCCTTTTCATATTATCCTGTATTTTTTAAGTCATCTATTTTCTTTTAGCCACAGTCGCATTTAAATTTCCCCACTATGGGACAAAAAAAAGCTAAATATAGAAAGCCTTACAAGGCGGGTGCTATATAGGTATAATAAAAAAAGTTTGACATTTTTTTTCCTTTCTGCATTATTTGTATCCCTTTAATAGTAGATTTAACAGGGCAAGTCTGTAAAAATGTGCAGGCAGGGTAGAGAGGGTAACGGGTCGGACGAGCTTCCATTTAAAACAGGAAATACAGAACATTTTTAAATAAGTAAAATGTTTAACTTTATCAAGTCAGATAATTAAATTGTTACTGAAGACCAATATCTGAGCTTATCTCTCCATACAGTCTCTAAAGAAATGTTCTAAAGATTGTAGTTTGTGTACAGTAGGAGTTCTTGTCACTTTATACATGGCATAGCAATAAGCTGGGTGAGCCCCTTCTTCTGCAAACCGCTTTACAGCCTAAGAAAACAAACTAAAAATAGTCAACTGAAATTATTGCTTTATATAAACGAAATGTACACATTTCCATTTGAATTTCTTAAACAAATTATTATAAAATCTGTTTTAAAGACTGTACAGTGAAGAATAGTTTATGCCCGATTAAACATTTTAGATATTTAACTACCGGTATAAGTGATCAAATGCAGTCATTAGAGACAAATCTGGTAATCAGGCTAGAATCTATAGAGGTACGGCCATATTTCCTTATATTGCAAAGCATGAGGGCAATGCCCAGTCTCTACTGGAAGGAAATAAAGGTAAAAATGTGTTTGGGATTACTATTTGGAAAATGTATGGTCTTGTTTTCAGAAGAACAGCAATCAAGTTTTTCCTGATAGGTCAGCTTCTCAGTCTGTATGAAAACCAACCGTGTCAGTCGATATTGTAAATTGTGTTGAACCATGGCTGATCACAGTGGTTTGATTCTGCCTTATTGGCTACAACATTATTCCGGGCCATGATTATTTTATTAACCCACAACTATTCTTTTAAGAGCACTTGTTTTTCCAGTAGTCTCAATAGTATTATTATTTCGATATCCGGTCTTAGAATTTTTCATCAAAGAAGAAATTTAGCCTCTGCTATTTCCACCAAGCAGCTTGGTGAAAATAGTTTCACAGTTGAAGCAATCATTAGAAAATGGAAGACATGACTGTCAATCTCCCTGGGACTGGGGCTCCAATCAAAATCTCATCTCGTGGGGTCTCAATGATCCAAAGAAAGGTGAGAAATCAACACAGAACTACACTGGAGGAGCTGGTCAATGACCTGGAAAGAGCTGGAACCACGGTTTCAAAGGTTATTGTTGCTAATAAACTAAGACATCAAGGTTTCAAATCATGCACGGCACTGAAGGTTCCCCTGCTTAAAGTCGTAGGGAAACAGCTGTTCCAATCGTTGCAGTTCCAAATTCTCACGAGTGGTGCATTACTTTACATAAGAAACAAAGTGAATGTAATTGGTCGTTTATCAAGAGGGCGGAGTTGTTGTGGCGAAAGGTTCACAAGCAAGTTTGATTGTGGCCAGTGGCTCTGAAGCATCTTGCTAACCAGTTAGCAACTTAGTGCTAACAGGTTCCCAATGGGAAATTCCATTTGGACCAAGTAGCACTAAACTGCTGACTTAGAAACGACACTGTCAAGGAACGCTATGAACAGCGGAAACATGCAAGAGCACAACAGTTTTGTGTCAGAAGTCATGGATGAGTCTCCTCCGTCATGCATTCTTTATTTAGAAGAGGAAAGTGGGGACGAAGACGTTTTAGAAGAGGACGCCAGAAGCTTCTTTGGTGTACAAGGCTGACAGCCGTACATGCTTGAGCCCTTGCCTCGCAACGCTGCCAGTTCTGTTAGCTCTACGCCTGCTGAAGACACAGATGTCCATCCCTGTGAACACTGGGACGTAAACTCAATGATAAAGTAAATGATTCTTATTTCTTATTTCACAAGTTGCGTATATTAGCTGCAACATATGAATTAAGATGCTATGAACATTGATATATGATTGGGTGACAAGCTGACATATAACTAACTGGCCTGTATAAGATAACAAAACCCCCCACACACAGATTTTAAGAAAGGATTTTTCTTTTTTTTTTAAATAGAAATTTTCTACATTTTGGGACAATATCGTCAGATAAAGAGTACATTTATATACATGTTTAAGCCAGAATGATTTGACATTTAAATATGATTTCCCTTCGACTTTAAACCAGTACATGTCAAGGCCCGTCTTAAGTTTGCCAGTGACCATTTGGATGATCCAGAGGAGTCACGGGACAAAGTCATGTGGTCAGATCAGACCAAAATTGAATGCTTTGGTCATAATTCCAATAACCTTGTTTTGCAGAATAATGGAGTACCATCCCAACAACACCGTCCCTAACTGTGAAGCATGGGGGTGGTAGCATCATGCTTTGGGGGTGTTTTTTCTGCACTAGGGGTCATGTATTGTGAGATTTTGGGGAACAACCTCCTTCCCTCAGTTAGAGCATTATTGATGGGGCGAGGCTGGGTCATCCAACATGACAATGACCGAAGCACCGCCAGTGTAAGCAAGGAGTGGCTCTGGAAGAAGCGTATCAAGGTTCTCAGACGGCCTAGCCAGTCTCCAGAACTAAAACCAATAGAGAATCTTTGGAGGGAGCTCAAACTCAGTGTTTTTGTCGGCAGCAGCCCTGAAACCTAACTGATCTAGAGAAGATATGTGTGGGGGAGGTGGCCAAAATCCCTTCTGCAGTGTGTGCAAACCAGGTGAAAAACTAAAGAAAAAGGTTGACTTCTGTAATTGCAAACAAAGGCTACTGTACCAATTAAAATTAATTTTCTCAGGTGTTCAAATACTTATTTGCAGCTGTATCATACAATAAAAATAGGTAAAATATCATACATTGTGTTTTCTGGATTTTTTTTTTTTTAAGATTACGTCTCTCACAGTGGACATATACCTACGATAACAATTTTAGACCCCTCCATGATTTCCAAGTACGAGAACTTGCTAAATAGCAGGGTTACTTAAAAAAAAAAAATCTTATTTACTTAATAATAAATTATTACTTATTTTCATCAAAATATATATATTTATATATATAAAAATTACAGATACCCTTACCCAACCCCTATGTCTTTGACAATTTTGCATGAAGCAAATTAGTAGACGCACGTCTCAAATGTTAACAGACACTGAACAAATCCAAAATGAAATTTGTTTATAATCTTTAGAGGGAAAACAGCAATAATTAGGAGTATGGTGGGAATAAACAATTACTTGATACACCACAGATTTGGCAATTTTTCAAGTCTGAAAGAATAGTGAGGTTTTTAAATTTCAGCATGTGCTGAAATGCCCTGGGTTGGCACAGTTCAACTGTGAAAGACATAGAAAATCCAGAAAAAAATTAATAAAATTATTTTTATTGCATTCAATATGTGATCAGCCACCAATCAACAACAATTCTTGGACACAGACATGTTGGGTCTTTAAATGGCTTACTGTTCTCTAATCATGTATGAACTGCACCTTTAGAAGACACTCTCACTCGACTATAACTCCGCCACCCAAACCAAGACGCAAGATCAAAGATATGTCTAAGGTTATGAGGGACAACACTGCAGAACAGTACAAGGCTAAATGGATACCAGAAAAACAACTTAGAGCACATATTAAAAAATGGAAGAAACTCAAGATAAATATCAGTCTCTGTAAGTCTGGGTCTCCATACAAGATCTCACCTATCGGACCATGAATGATTATGAGAAAGGTGACAGATAAGCCATTATTAAATGGGAGGACCTGGTCCATTAAGTCAAAAGCAATTGGAAAAATAGTCTGAAAAGCTACCATTGGTAACAGACCAGCTCAAACCAGCATGTGCAGGCTCCTAAAATGTCCCTATTAGTGTGTTCCATTTATACTCTTCTAGACTTCTTGGTAGGCTGGGGTAAAATATTCAGAATGATTTCAGCATTCAGCATCAATGCAACCCTAATTAACAATAGTTAAACTTAACTGCTCTTAATTATCAGCTTTTGTTTTTTGCAGCATTTAGTTAGTCTCGCATGAACAACCTTTTAGTGTTTATAAGAGGATATTTTAAAGATTGTTTATAGGTCCAAATGGTCATGTTGAGCAATGTTCTTCCCATGGTTATAGCTGTAAAAGTGGCTGTAGGGGCCTTTTATGAAGATTAGTGAATGTAATATAGATATCAGCAATTATGCCAGGACAGGATGAATGCATCTTAACGCGGGATGGATGGAGCAATGAATGACTAGATCTTAGGCAACAATCTCCTTCCCTCAGTAAAAGCACTGACCATAGGCCATGGTTAGGTATTCCAGGATGGCAATGACTTAAAATAGTCAGGTCCAGGAGTGCTCTAGTCAATCTTCAGGTCTGACCCAAATAGTACATTTTTAAGATGACACCTTCAGGAAATCCAACAAAAACATATGAACATACAAGTGAAATATTTTTTTGGAGTCTGTGCAAAACTTGTTTAGAAAAATAAGAGGAAAACAAATTGGTACAGAAAGAAAGGTTTCTGTACCAATTATTAGGTTCTTTTTTTAAGCTTTGTGAATAATTAATTCCATTAAATAAAATTGACAACTTAAATACTGTACAATGTGACTGTCGGTTTATTTTTATTCAATAATTTTTTTATTGAATCTGTCATGACATGGGAAAACGCCAAAAACATAGCAATTGTGCATCAGTATTTACTTTCCTCACTGTACATTGATGTAAAAGGGCTGCATTGCTAAGAAGCCATTTATGATAAAAATAAGAATTAAATTTATAAAAAAGCCACACAAAAAATCTCACAACTGAATGCTCAGCTGTGGGGAATATGCTGAGTTTTTCATGTCTGCATGATCAAAGGACTGCAACGGTTACAAATTTACATGCACGTAATTTGAAACAAACTATCAAACGAAAACTTCACAAAAAAAAAATAAAAAATGCTACCAAAGATTTTAACAACACGACCAGCTCAGCTGTGCCCATTATAACAATAACACTTATTCTTTATAATTTGAGATGTAGTCTATAGGTTTTTCATATAAATGTGCCCTCCATTAAACAGATCAAATCTTCACATGTACAGAAAATGACAACTATTGTTAGGCCTGATGTTTACTGAAATTAACAGGGAATTTACGAGGAGTCAAGAAATTCTACATTTTTTCAATTCAGTGTGGCAATTTTTTAAATCTATAGGCGCATTTTGAAAACAGCATAGCGTAAGCCATTGTGTTCAGATCTTAGATTTTTTTCTATGCATCATTGCTTCACTGTGTCTTGTTACTTACCTTGATGTATACTAGTATAGTGGAATTAAGAGCACTATGGTGATTTTGTCTTTTAAAGTCACCAACTGAGCACGCAAATTGTAACAATTCTCAAATGCATTCTCAGGTTCCCGACAGATTCCTTAAAGTGGCTGAGATTACACTAAGAGAGTTTTATATTGCCATTTCAATGGGCAGAGACCGTGATCCGTCCTGGAAGAAGACTATCTACAAAGTGATCTGCAAACTGGACAGTGAAGTTCCACCTGAATTTAAAAGTCAAAATTTTGGATGAAACCGTGAGAAGACATTTTTTGTTACGACATGGACTGACTGTGATTTATGTCATGATGACCATACAATGTGTGTTAGGCAATTGAAATGTAAGAACACTTATAGTCAGTGGAGTAGTAATGTTTAAGTATGTATCTTTTACTTTTTAATACTCAACAAAAGTAAATTGTTTTAAATATTTAGAGTATTAAAAGGAAATATGTAATCTACTTGAAAGTGTGTGTGAACTTCTAAGTCCTGTTACATGAAAACATACACGCCTGTAAAGCCTATTTTCTAAATGAATACAAAACTGAGTCCACACCAAAGAGCAAAAATATTTAATATTTTACAGAACATTGTAATTACATTTTATTCAGTTGAATAAAAAGGTGTAAAAAAAAAAAAAAGAATCTACTGAACCAGTAGATAAGATGTTAAACAATGTGAGATCCATTAAATTTTCATTCGATACTTACAAATCTGTTCATCGCTTTTGATTTCTTCTGGTAGTCCCAAGGAAAAATGTGTCTTCAAGATGAGGTGTTTTTGCCCATTGGTCATCTTTTGGTCATCTTTGATTTGAATTCAGAGAATCCAGGAAGAACAATAATATTCCAGATAAAAAAATCCAGATTGCAAAAATTAAACCCTGGTTTTCCTTAATTCTTCAAAGAGCTTAAATGCTTAAAAAAAAAAAAAAAAAATCAGCGATTTTAAAGGTTTTTTGCTTGTTCCATCTGGATGTTTGTCATAATTGATCATTTCATATCATAAAAGTCATTTGAATTTTTGTCAAAAATGATGAAAGCAAACACAAAATCCAGTTTTTAAAATTAAGCTTTTAAGCATTTGGGATAACTTAAGTCTTTTACATGGTTGTAGACGGATTTTGTCCAAGTCATATTTGCAGAATTGTATTAGCCACATTAAAGGCTATTCATGCATTCACGCCCTTCTGTGCAGCGTGCATGCAGACAGAATTCCCGCACCGCATATTTAGGAAACCGGCAAAGGTTCGCAAATGTAAACATGAAGTGACGTCCTGTAAATAAGCCAATAAGAACAACCAATATCAACAGATTGTTGAAAAACAGTTGAACTCAAACTTTTTTCTGTCGCTAATGGATGGTATTAAGTTTTAAACAACCGTGTTTTCTGGTTCTTCAAGTAGCGCTGTGTTTCCAGTAGGAGTTGTTGCCCGCTTGCCATGTTTTTCTGAACAGATCTTTTCTTAGGTGCACAAGTATGGAAATTCTGCCTGCACAGAGGTCAAGCTGAAAACGACGCAAGTTGGCTGCACAGATCTTCTTGACTTGTCAAGCACAAACCCAGCTTTAAAGCATTTATTCTCTTATAAGCTTTGGATCTGATGTTCGCACGTTTCATTCCTTGTCACATTAAGGGTGGTAACCTCTGGAAAGTATGAACTGCCTGTGATTGGCTACTTTTCAGGAAATTAGACCTTTTAAGACTGTACTATTTTCTTTATGGTTGTGGCTAGTAATGTTAGCATAGCATCTTCAGGCTAATAGCTTTTCTCCTCAAGAAAAAAAAATGCGTAAGTGGTAAATAAATGACATTCAACACAGTCGAGAATATGTTCTGACAGCAGTACCCCTTAAAATATAGAATCATATATAGGGATGCCGATGCCATTTTTTGGCCCTGATACTGATACCTGGCTGTGCAGCATTGGCCGATACCGATACCATCTGTTTGAAATTGTTGTTGTGTGTATAAAGAACTGCATACTACTAGGATGTAAAATAATTGCCATCATGGCTTTGTCAAGCTGCTGCCTACATTTGTGAAGCAGAAAAAGACTAATGCAAGTGTTAACTTTTATTGAGGAAAGTATGGCTTAAATGATCACAAGTCTATAATTATACATAGACATTTACAATCAGTTTGCATCTAATGTTTAACATTTTTTTCTTTTGAGTCTTTCACAGTGTTTACAAAGTTGACAGTTAATGAAAGAGATGGCTGTTGGATATAAAGTCAGAATTCAACTCTTGAAGAGGTAAGCAGTTAGCCTGAAGATGCTTCTACTATTATGTGACACAACCAGGAAGACAACAGTATTTTTTAAAGAGAGTCTTACTTGAAAAGTAGCACCTGAAAAACTTGTGTTTTACTTTTTTCAGTGGTTACTACCATTTAAGTGATAAAAGGTGACACAATTGTGTAGAAACAGAGCTTCGAGCGAGTGGGAGAGAGGAAAATGCATTTGTGTGATATAATGGGCTCTTTTGGTACTCAATCTAAAAGCATAGAAAATGTGGGTGGGGAGTACTCAACGTCATATGTTAAGAACATATGTGTATACTGGGAAAACAAACCGCTCATATGAGTATTTATTGGCCTTATACACTTTAGTTAGAATTCTGGCTTCATACAGCAGAAGACCTCCAGTGCGCTTCAGCTTGAGGTCCGAATATATGGCTGGTCATTCTTTAGAATTTTTTCTTTACTTTGGATTTATCTTGACCACAATCAAAGTGATTATAGTTTTGCAATAAAGTTGTCTTCACCAGAAAAAAAATATGGGGAAAAAGATTAAACTCTATGGAGGAGGCCAACAACCCTGAGCCATATCGGTTCAGTGATATGGCCACTGGTACTAGAGTTGCCTGAGGCCACCGGTGGAGCCAAGCTTCCCAAGACATGAGGACAGTTTGAGTGTGTGTTAGCACTTTAAATATGTTTCTACAGTTAAATTTACATATAATTTAAGTTTGTATCTTGCTCCCGCTGTGTACTGAGGCACATAGAAGACAAGATGCTTTTACAACCCACAACAGCAGAGCTACTCATGTCCGTTTTTTTGTGGTGACATCAGTAATGTTTCAATCATCACCAACAATAATACAAAAATCAAATGCCATATAGTCAAACTGAAACACAAAAGAAGTGTTACAATGTCCAATAAAGTGTCAAAATAATTACTGGCTAATGTAGACAGCACAAAGATATCCATGTTAACTGGCAAAAAAGATTCTGGTGTGAGCTTTTGGTGAATTCTTCTTGTAAACAGGTGTGGCAGTAATCAGGACGGTGTGGCCAGAGAAAGAGAGGGAAATCTTGGTGTGATCAACTATTTTAATTTGGGCTAGGCTATCACGGGTTTGATTCCACCTCTTTTAATAATAAAACCAATTCAAAACTGCATTTTGTGTTTACTTGTGTCACTTTTGACTAATATTTAGCTCAACGTTCTGATTCTTTGCAAACATGAGAGAAAAAATAAATTCAGCAATTTAGCAAACCCCCTGTACAGGAGTTGTAACCAAATATGGTGAAAGCAAGAGGGGCCTCCTTACACCCCAACAAAGAGGCACCAGGTAACAAAACAAAATTTTACATTTTGTTTGGAAAAGTCAAAAGGTATAACAATTCAATAACCGTTTTTTTTCCCTACACAGTTTATACTATTTCAATAACACAGAGAAAAGTATTCTAACTTACATAATCATGGAGAATGTTTATCAGACAGTTGTCCAACATATAGTCTGACATAAACTGGATTCACACCGACTATGTTCTGTGTCTTCATCATTTGTCACAAATTGTGCCATGCGTCATTCCACACTGGATGAGTGTAAGGTCCATCGATGCATCTGGACAGCCCCCTCTTATTTTGAAATGTACCCTTCCCATATTTGATTTCCTCTCAGGCTCATTTGCTGTTTAGAATTCTATTGATTTTACCCAGTCATTCATCAAAAATGGACTGTATTCTTATTTCTGAATGGGACAGAGAAGGACTCCATCATACACGGCATCCACGGGGCCACTGAGAGTTATTGCATTGCCTAGAACATTTTTAGTTTTATTTAACGCTCTGAACCCTCATATAAACGGGTTTTTGCACCATGTTTTTTTTTCTCCCACACTGTTTACATTTGATCACTTCTTCACTATAAGGAATAGAAATGTTCTGAAAGCTGTACAAAAACGAAATTTAATTTTGTATACACTCTGTGTATACTGTGTACACTCTGTGTATACAAAATGACAATAAAAGTTGTTCAAGTCTTCCATTTGCGAGGACAAAAACACATTTAAACCTAGGACAACTGGTAACGGTTTGTTTCAAGTATTTATCAAAGCATATTAATGAAAAGCAAAGCAGAAGGAAAAACAAACAAAAAAGTAAACTGGCAACAGGGGTAACCACAGTCTTAAGATGATTGTGAAGCAAAATCTCAGGGGAGATTCATAAGTGCTCACTGCGGAGAAGTCGTGAGTCTACATTACATGACCCATTCAAAGAAAGATTTGACCCCTTAAAATTACAAAGGAGAGTCTTGAGAAGTGTAGCTCCCACAGAGAATTGATGTGTGCTGTACATTGACCTAAAAAAGTTTAATATGTCAAAGTAAGCCAGTACTTAGCTCAAAACTTGTGCAGTGTTGCTCCATTTTAACCCAGGTTTATAAGGCAGACAATAAATAAAAGACTGCAATCCCAATCTGTTTAGATCATAGTTTACCACATTATGGCAACAAACGTGAAAAAAATGCTTCATATCAGGTTTCAAACAATACATCTGACATACTGACATTTGAGTTGTGGTGCTTTCACTGATAAAAGTTAACAGAGTTCAGTGCTTAGTTTAAAAGAACTACCCTAGAGCATAACAGCCGGGTATGAACATCATTCTTAAGAGGTAGTGAAAAAATAAAGCCTCTTACAAAACTTTAAAGACCATTATTTTTATGGCAATGTTCTAAATTAAATTAGTTTTATAAGGATTGCAAACTATAAATTCAAATTGAGGCTTTTGTTTTAGCCAGAACATAACAGCCCTGGGCCTTCAATATGCTTCTGAATGTACAGAAGTGACAAACAAATAAATTTAGAACATTATAAAAGCATTAAACCATATCTTTTACTTGCCCTTTTAAAACTTCCCTTAAATAACACAAGAGATGCTAAAGAACACTTTGATTATGGTATAGGGGAAAAATAGAAACTGCCAGCCTAAATAAATAACTTTAAACAAAATTTAAAAATGGCCTTTTCATAGTGTTAAAACCGATTAGAGACCCTTTGGCTTAGGTTCAGGCAGCTCAAGAACACTTCCTGTTTTCACTAAGCTTTTTGTTACCCATTTAACATTTGTCTGATCATCTGAATATATCAAAAATATTAATCTGGGTATTTTTTAACACTTAAAAATAAGTCAGCAACAGGTTATTGAAAGGAACTGGCTCCTCTTTAATGTTTCAAAAACCACCTGGTGACATGCACAGCAATAAGAGGCTCAAAATCTAGAAAAGGGAATTACAGAAAATGGGACTTAAACCATCATCTTTGTTCCTACATCTACTTCACATTGGATTGAATTATATAAAAAATATTTGGTTAGTTTACAAAAATAAGCATTAGCTTAACAGTGAGCTTAGTAGTTTAACAGATGGATACAGCGGATAAGTGTCTGAAAAAAAAAAGTGGTTTCAAAGCTGAAACATGCAAGACATTTAATATGGAATAGCAAACTGAACAGCAGATCATCCGTACATAGAGCAACACACAACCGTCACAATGAAACACCACTGACAAATCATATCAGAAGTTTATAATGTTGTGAACCATTTATTTTACTCTACAACACATAGACTAAAACAGTTCTTTGAGTATACAGAACATGAAGTCAAGAAGTATAAAACAGAAGACTAAAAGATGTCTGAAGCACAGATTATCTACCACAAATCATCCAGCTGGGAAAAAAATATGTTCTTTATATTATTAGTGAATGAAAATCAAATGACAACTGCTGGGAATATCGCACTGATGTAGGTTTCACCAAGAAGCTGGAACGTGTTAACAATCTGGGCACCTGTTGAGAGCAAATAAATCATTTAGTGGCAAATCATTATTTTCAAACAGTAAAAAAATCATATGTTTTACGCTATAACAAAAATAATTCTGTCTGATCATTTTTAAAACATTCACATTATTGCGTTAATCCTTAGCTGCCTAACATTTGCCCCAATCATCCAACAACGACTGGTTGGATGAAATGGCAGCTAAAAGAATGTTGAAGTAAAAATCTGATCAAATCTCTCATCTTTTTTGTCATTAGCAGACAGATCGTTATGACAAAATGTTATATTTAGAATTTATGAAGAGCAGCTGCATCAACTTTTACGAACAAAATTTTATATTTTGACACAAAGCACCAAAAATGGTTTGGTTTTATCTAAAACTGTGGCAGCTTTGAATCCAGATGCAGTATTAAGGTTCCAAGAAAGCTTTTTAAATAATCTAAACTGATAAGTTTCATTAAAAGCTAGTATTCAAGACTATCTTTTAATTGTGGATTTGATGCTGCAAAAAAAGGCTAACTTTGGATAGGTACTGTATTGAAGCAGTATTTAAATTAACAAATCTTGTAAAGATGCATCACAATATTAGCCTTTACTAATTTTTATGACATGTTCATGACATTTTTTTTAGTAAATCTGAAATGGCTTTTAAAAAGCAGAAAGAAAAATCTACATACCTTTCCATAAACCAAAATAAAGAATTCGATCATCTTCTTAGAAATACTTTGTACGGTTCAGAGCTCTTTGTGCAAACTGTCCGCTCTCATCTGTTATTTTTTCCCAGTCCGTTTGACCCACTACAAAACCGATAGCACGCTTTCGATCTGCATCTTTCTGCTCTTCAAGATCAGCCCATCGGACCTTAACATAGGGGGAAAAAAAAAACAAAAAACATTGAGGGTGTCCCATTATAAAAATGAAACAGACATAGAATGATTAAAATAAGATTGTACCAACAGAAAGCTAGAGACATCAGCCATAAAACTTACCCGTTTCTTTCCTGGAGCAGACGTGCGTGTGGCATAGTCATCTGGCAGCTGCAGGAAGTCCTCGATGCCTGACAAATGTTCACTGTCACGCTTCCTCTTCCCACCGCTTCCCAGGCCGTCCAGCTTGTCTTTATTAAAGGAAAATTACTGCTCAGATCATTCTTACCCTCCCAGGAAAACAACAAAAACAAAATAGCCTATTTTTTTTTTTTTTTACCAATGCTCTTTAAACATTGTCATTCATGAATTCTTTACAAAAGTTAAGAGGTTATCTTCTGGCTTTAAAGCTAATTTTATCCCACGGCCATAACAGAAACCCTTAGTAGCTTTTAAAGCCTTCGAGTGAAGACATCTAAAGGCAGTACTCAGCATAAAGATGATCCTTCTTGTTAAAATGCATCATTAAACGATGAAGTCAAAATCACGGATGCAACATACTCTGTTATAATAGTAAATCAGATTGCACTTTGGATAAGTGCAGAGATGGTTGTTGGGTAAAGGAGACAGAGGGGACTTCAATCTTAACCTCCTTTAGCATCAACAGGTGACCATGAACACCTCCTGGGTGATTATCAGTTTCTCCAGTTGTTAAGGAATTTCTGCTCCTTCTTTTAACAACACAGCTTTTTTCATAGTGGCTTATGGTTACTTGTTTATACATAGTAAACTAGGTTTACACTAGAGCATAACTATTAATTAATATAACCTAATATTAGTCCATTTTATGAATACTTGTTTTCCCCTTTCCTGCATTCAATATTCAATAGATGTTCTGCAATTTTTGGGATGTTTGTCAAGAGGCTTCATTTCAAAAGATCTTGCACTGCAATATCTTGCCTCACACGAGTTCATGTTGAGCTGCTATATTGTACTTGCCCCAATCAATACTTTGGTAAAGTCATACTATAGTCGTTCTCAAATTGTATGGACATTAATTTTCAACATTCACTATATGCTTAAATACACGTTACAAGTCAGATGCAGAGCCCACTTTTTTTTTTTTCCTTTCAATTTCTACTAAATAGTATACAGTCAGGCTTCAATTTAATGTAAATTCAATGCATCTAACCTGGCAAGAGGAGAAACGAATGTAAACACTTGCAGAAAAACAAACATAACAAAAAGCCCACTATATTCAGCATAATGGATGTGTTTAGTAATGGCCTTAAAACACTTTCTAAAATGAGCAGCAATTTCTTAAGGAGACCTAAAAATAATGAACTCAATAACAAAATCATTCAACCCATCATCTTATCATGCCAGGCCCAGCTTAAACAACAACAAACAAAAAATTAATGAGATGGAAACGAACTTTACTGCTTAAAAAAAAAAAGAAAAAAAAAAAGATCTATACTACAGAGGAAAATGTTTCAATGGTTTCTAAAAAAAAAAGAAGAAGCAGAAAATGCAATACCTACCAAGTTTGGCCTCTGATGTATCCATCTCCCATTTGCTTTTTGGAATATAGCCCTATATTAAAGACACACTGCAACGGTTAAATGTCTGGGTGATATAAGGGTGGGGGAAGAGTGTAGAAATCAGGGAAGGGGACTGGCTGGAAAAAGAGCAAAGCAGTTTATAAGAGGGCAAACAAGAAAAACAGAATAACAGCAATATTTGATAAAAGCGTGTCTCTACCATTGTTTATAGCAGATCTATTGTAACTTGTGACTAACTGATCCTGCATAGTACTGAATCAGATAGATCTATACAGAAAAAAAAAAATAACAGTTTAGTAAAATTTCATTCTCATTCTAAAGACTGTGCAGCCAACAAACATGATGACGTCTCATCCTGTAGATGTATTCTTTATTCTGTAAAATAAACCTACAGAAATGTATGCTGCCCTATTTTTTTATGTGATAAATGCACATAATAGGCAAACAGAGAGTTTAGATTTTTCAGTGTATTATTTGATTACCTCAAGTTTTTTAAAAGACTGTATAAAAAGGCTCACACACAGAATAACAGGACCAGTTAGTAATGTTAATAAAATATTCAAGTTCGATATTTAAATGTAAAATTAAATATGCTGCATTAAAAAAAGTGCATTTGGGGTCAAAAATTGTTTCAACAAAAGTTTGAACTGACACTTATTTGAACTAACTGGATTTTTTTCCCAACATGTTTGGTTATTGTACAGGTTTAATCTCCATCTATAATCATTTTAAAAATATGAACAAGTTATGTAGGATTCCTTTGCTTACAACAACGAGGGAGACCTCATCAGGCAATCATCAAATTCTACTAAATTGAAAAAAAAAAAAAAAAAAAAAAAAAAACTAAGTTTTTGTGAGGTTTTCCTGCCTTTAAAAAAAGGGGAAAAAAGCCAAATATCTTAAAATATCAAACCAGAAAGTTTATAAGAGAATGTTTGTAGAGGAATTTTCCAACCTTTGGAAATTGACCTTTCATTTCCAAAGACTTGTTGCTTACCTTCACATTAAACTGATTTCACGGATCCTTTTAAAATAAAATCTTCTACAAGTGATTCACCATTTTTTATGGAAACCAGCAGTATTATTGGACTTATGAGATAAAAGGGTTCAAGAAGTTAATTTGTTTTATTTTATTTAAAAGCAGTAAATATATCGGATGCATAACAGTGCATTAGCACAGCCAAGCAGACTACGCGCGTAGGTTACGCTTAACCTAGTTTACATCTAAAAGGTCAAATAATTTAGACCGGATACTTGATGCGCTCATGCAATGCTACTCCTAATTTCAGATGGGTTTCTAATTTTTGACGCATTTACATTCCTGTTTGATAAAAATAAAAATGAAAGCAACATTCAACATCAAAGTCACCTAATCAACCAGCAGAGGTCTTGGTGAACTTTGTAAGAAAAATGTACAAAACCTAAACAAACTACAGTGACTAGAAATTGAGTTTTGTGGGTTAGTTCTGCATTTTTTATTTTATTTTATTTATTTATTTTTTTTATGTCTTTCCTGCTATCTGTCAAACCACAGCATTCACATTTGACTGGATCAATTTTACAGGGACCTTTCCTAAATGATATGTGTGGGTGTCTCACATCATGACTAAGCTGCACAAAATGCTTTAAAAGTTGAACAGTTAAACGTTTTTAATACAACATATGATGAAAGCAATCCTTAAAGAAAATAAAGCCCCAAAGAAGATTGTGGGGCAATTCATTACTGGGTAAAGCCAGTGAACAGTGAACAGCTTTCTGTGAAGTTTACCAAAGTCATTTGATTTTTTAAATGTTATATAGGGGAGCAGGATGTATAGCAACACCATAAGAGTCACAAAAAGAAAGCTGAAAAAGCAAAATCGTTCCCTCATATGTATCATTATTGTCACATATTAGGTTTTTTTCCTGTTTTTTTTTTTTTTTTTTTTTTTTTAGATCTTGTCAGTCAATAACTCACCCATATGAATGATTTTCTACTCTGAAATCCTGTTAAGCGCCTTGTGTAAATTTCCGCGTAAGCTGATTTGTGGTGCTTATGTGCTGTTAATGCATCCAGTTTATTTCCCCTTTAAGAATTCATTTTCTTTAAATAATTGTGACATTCAATAGAGAATGTACAGTAGTTTGGTATATGAATGTGAAATAGATTTTTTTTGTGTAAAGCAGTGTTTAAAATGCCAAGAAAAATTAATTAACAGTGTCAGTTAAAAATATATCTGTTCAGCTCTTAGCGAAGATAAATGAGACACTGAAAATACAGAAAACAGGAGAACATCACCATCTTCTATAGTTCTTCCACAAAATATTTTAAAACCTTTTGAAAGTAACCCGAATCCAGTTTCTGGAGTGGATCCCGTTGCTGTGAATCCTTCCCAGACTCTAAATGATACTCTGGAAAGAGGTAAAACTGCCAATATTGGCACGGTTTATCCAGACACTGGAGTGGTTTGCTTTTGTCAGCGTTCTCACCAGCGCATTTCAGCACAATGGGCCGCCACGCTCCAATTTGTTCACGATCCACTGAAATTCAGGTTGTTATATTGGTTGATACAGGATGATACACTGAAAAACAGGCTGTTATATTCATTTTTATGGCGTTAATCGGCCCTTCCTCAGGGTTTTTCCCTCCGGCAGATTTCAGCACCAGCGCTGGTTACACTGAAAGTCAAAATTACATTGAAATCAGGCCGATAAACTGTCTTTCAATTGGAATAACGGCCAAAGAAATTGAGTTTTAAAATAGATTTTACCCACATAATTGGACATACGTGCGAAAAGCGCAGTGAAAATGTAAAAACCACACCATTTAGACTCATCGACTCACCGTCTTTGCAGGCAGTTAAACACATGCTTCTGAGACCCCTCTGTGCCCCTTTTGCAATAATTACAACTAAAAACGATTTACTAGCAATACGTTTGCCTTTTCATTTCCATTAGTAACCGTTGAATGGATTCATTACTGTTTTAAAGTCGTAGGGAAGCAGCTGTTTCAACGGTTGCAGTTCTGAATTCTCCCGAGTGGTGCCCGACTTTACACGAGTGAAGAAAGAAATGTGATTGGTTGATTATCAAGGGGGCGGGGTTTTGGTGGTGCGGAAGGTTTGCAAGCAAGATTGGTTTTGGCCTGTGTCTCAGAAGCATCTTGCCATCCAGTTAGCAACTTGGTGCTAGTAGGTTCCCAATGGGTAATTACATTGGGACCAAGTAGCACTTAGAAACGAAACTGTCAAAGAACACTATTGACAGCGGAAACATGCAAGAAAAGGAGAGTTTTGTGTCAGAGGTTGTGGTTGAGTCTCCTTCAACATATATTTTTCTTTAGAGGAGGAAAGCGGGGACGAAGTTGTTGTGGAAGAGGACGTCAGAGGACTTTTGATATACGGTTGGCCGAATTTAGGTGTACAAGCTGATGTATAACTAACTGGCCTGGATAAATAATGAAAAAAACCCTACAGATTTTAAGATAGGATAAAGAGTACATTTATATACATGTTTAAGACAGTATGATATTTAGATACGACTTCCCTACAACTTTAAGTACCGCTTGCATCTGTTTCTAACCACTTGGGGTTGCACTAAAGACATCTAAGGACTGTTGGTCGCCAGTTCGTTAGTGGGAGGTGTCACCGGTCACAGCTTATTTTAGAAACTAATATCTCCAACCATTTAATCATTTTATGCTGCACATTTTGTGTAAACACACACTATTACTACTATTGTAGTGGTATCCTTTCATTGAATACTGCATAACTTCTCCAGTACATATTCAGCTTGCTTCATCTAGCTGCTCGCAGCCTTTCTTTGCTCTCCTATTACTTCAAGTCTAACGAACAGCCATCAAATGAGCAGGCTCAAGTTGTGGTGAGTCTGTCAACCACATAACGTTGGACTGCAGGCAGCCTTGCTGACAAAGATCCTGCCCCATTGAGATGCTATGCCATTCTAATGGAAAATGAATCAATCCGAATTGAAGTGAACCGACCTAAATAGATAAGTCGTCAGATGCATTAAAGTGTGAATGTGGCTTGTCTTAAAATAACAAAAGTAAGAGGAGAAAAATTTAACTTAACAGAAGCACATTTAAATAAAAGAACAACTTCAAAAGAACCTGGATCCAATGACAAAATGCTTTGTCTCATGGGGTTAAGCGAAGTAGTCAAGAGCAGCAGGTGCACAACTACATTTAATCACCATAGTAGCAACAGAAATTGCATGAGTCAGATTATTTTTTCTTTTTCAAACAACGTATTACAGGAGCAACATTTCCCCAATACAATCTGTTGCTACTGCAATATGTTGCCTTGCCTAAAATAAAAATATGAAATAAAAATAAGAGGAAACCAGTCTGATTTTCCCGCTTTTAACAATACCTAGACCGATCTATAGCTCAAAGAGATTGTATAAGTAGAACTTTACCTATAGAGATTCAGCTGGCTTCATAAGTAACCAACTTGGCTTTAAAGGACATATATCCCGGTCTTGAGTCTGGTGTCCAGAACCAACTCATTCTCTAATGGTTCTTTCACTGAAACTTTAAACTTTTCCTCTACAGGACATTTTTAAAGGAAAAGTCCGGTCAGCAAGGAATGACCAATGGATCACTACCTATACCTAAAATGAAAACGTTTGCAGGTGATCAGTAAAGAATAAAAAATCATTTTCGATGCGATCACTGAGTCCGGGACTGGCCTTTTTTGCCCCAGTTAGATGTTGCATGAAGAGGGAGGATTTGCCATCAAACTTCTGGCCAGAGAAAAAACACGTAATATGTAGTCGACATTTCGAAGAAGAATGTTTTCAAGACGACTTGGAGAATAGTGTGTTGTGTCAAACATCAGATACGGCACTGGGACTTGCTTAACAGCCGATACCGCACCGTGACTTCACAAACCGGTAGAAGGCAGGAGTGCTATTTGACAAACATGGATGTCTCCAGTAAAGCACATTCACATGAAACTACTCTTAATCAAAACACTTATTTATTGAACAGTATGTAATAATGTCATATTTAAAGTACTTTCAGAAGTTTGA